TATCAACCGATCTATTTATATAAAAAAAACAGTGGGCTCCAGTAAAAATGAAGAAAAAAGTTCAAAGACGATTTGAAATTAAGTCAATAATTTGTAAAGAAAGATATCAACGTCGTATCAATGGTCAATACGATGGTTCAAGATAAATTGTCTGCCTTCTTAGTATTTTAAGTGACCTTCCGGCTATTTATAATGTGGCATTTTTTTAATTGTTTAAATTTTAACCGTTACATATTTTAATCGTTACATATTTTAACCGTTACATATTTTAACCGTTACAAATTTTAACCGTTACATATTTTAACCGTTACATTTTTTACCGTCACAAATTTTAACCGTTACAAATTTTAACCATTACAAATTTTAACCGTTACATATTTTAGCCGTTACAAATTTTAACCTTTACATATTTTAATCATTACAAATTTTAACCGTTACATATTTTAACCGTTACATATTTTAACCGTTACATATTTTAACCGTTACATATTTTAACCGTTACATATTTTAACCGTTACAAATTTTAACCATTACATATTTTAACCGTTATAAATTTTAATCGTTACATATTTTAACCGTTACAAATTTTAACCATTACAAATTTAAACTGTTACAAATTTTAACCGTTACAAATTTTAACTGTTATATATTTTAACCGTTACAAATTTTAACTGTTACAAATTTTAACCGTTACATATTTTAACCATTACATATTTTAACCGTTTCATATTTTAACCGTTACAAATTTTAACCGTTACATATTTTAACCGTTACAAATTTTAACCGTTACATATTTTAATCGTTACAAATTTTAACCGTTACATATTTTAACTGTTACAAATTTTTAAACTCTTTATTTTGTTAAGGTACTGGTAATTTCAAGTGACTCTCCATGGTAAAGATGACATGTCCCGATTCACAACAGGACCTTTGAAACCATTCTCTGATCATTAATATGGAAGATAAATTGTCGTTTTTTCAAGGTTGTTTTATTCTGATGTTTTGCAGCAGTAGAAATACGCAAATCACTTTCTAGAGAAACCACAAATTGAAAAATCAGAGCTGGGAACTTTAGAATGGTGGATATCGAGATCAATGCTTGATCCACTCTTTTTCTTAATCTCGAGAATAACCTAATTTTGTACTTGTATCCTGAAATGTGCATAAAACTCAACCAATCAGAATCGTGTATATGAAGCCGAGAAATTTGAAATTTTGCGCGCCATTTAAGATTAATATGCAGAAACGGGAGGGACTTTCTAATTTTGAAAAAAAAAAACGGTTTTTGATTTTTCTCTACTATATCCAAAAAAGTTTGTATTAAGCAAGGAATTAAAAGTGTCCACATTGGATATTCGGATTAAGCATGGTCGGGATTAAAGTTATCCCATTCTACAGTTCCTAGCTCAATTAAGTCATGCATAATCAGACAAAGCTGTACGGGTACCGTTGGGAATCGTCCATTGCCATCTTTGCTTTAAGGGTTACTTAAAATGTTGCTCACCGTTCCTTTAAACGTTAAACACATGGTTCTTAAATTTTTATATTTTGTAGTTTCTGGAACAATCTAGAAGATGGATACGTGTCAGTTTAAATTAAGCAGAATGAATGCGGAGATACTGTGTTAACCTAGGGAAGACGTCAAAAATAAACTTTAGGAGTAAAGTTTCACATTTTTATAAAGGTTATTTTTAATCAGGAGTTAAAAAAATTTTTTTTTTTTTAAAAGAAATAAATATTTTTTTTAAGGGAAAAATGCATTTTAAAAACTGTGTCTGCATCCTTCATTATCCACTTGTTTTTCGGAAAAAATGTATTTTTATCTATTTGCAATTGTTTTGTTATATGTAACAAAAAACTTGAAAGAAAAATTAAATTTTTGTCATCGTTTTGCTGAAAACATTGTTTTATTTAACATGCTATATAAATATTAGAAGGCCGGACCTCAACATGTTAGAAGAATAATCTATAATTTGCTCATATATAGATATTTACATATATGTTAGCTATAGCTGGACAAATGGCAGGAGCAATCTGGCTGATCATAGGCAAACAATTTTTTTTTCAAAATTCCAATTTTTTCAAAGAGTTTTTTAAATTCTATATGGGCAATGCCGGGCACTTATGCTAGTTTTTAATTAATATGATTTGTATGATGAGTAAATATCTCACAAGCTAATTAAGCCTAAAAAGTCACACCAAAACATACGTAGAAAAAATGCTTAATGCGATGTGTAAATATTCATTATTTATTTGCCAATATTCACAAATAAACCAATTTTTTTAATACTTAATAATAATTAAGATTTGCATTTTTGTTTTTAGAATTACTTCACGTGGTATAGCGAGCTTTACTTTAATATATGATTAAAATGTATATGTGTACTTTATTTTTCACTTCAAGCATGTTATTTTTCTTTAAAATTTGATAGCGACTAATTCACTCTTTACGCTACCAAGTTTTAAAAAAATAACAAAGAATTAAAATTTTTTAGTTTCCCATGCTGAAAAGTTAATAAAATTTGTCTTTTTATTTTAAATTTCAATTTCTGAATTATCAACATTGATAGTACTTTAAACCCGTCCCTTTTTTGGTTTAGAAATTAAAAATCTTTATTCTTTTTAGCTTAATCTTCCAGCATTAAAGTTTATAGATCAACATTAACTGAACATAAACATGCATCAGACTAATATGTCTATATTAATGGGAGGGGGGAGGAGGGGAAGGAGGAGGAGGTGCGGACGAGAAGGACAAGGAGGAGAAAGAGGAGAAGGAGAAGGAGGAGAAGGAGGAGAAGGAGAAGGACGAGGAGGAAGACGAGGAGACAGGGGCCAGTGGAAGGAGGGGGAGAAGGAGAAGGAAGGTGCTGACTAGGAGGACCACAAGGAGGAGGGCAAAGAGAAGGTCGCAGAGGAACAAGAGGGATGGAGGAGGTTAAGTGCATGTCTAGATTATAAATAAAAACGTAACAAGCCTCCATTAAATTTTCCTTTTTTAGGAAACAGCTTTAAATATAATAATTGATAAAGGGTGCCAAGAATTTCGAAATCATGCATCATGATTGATTCTTACCTTTTTAAAAAAAATTGTTAATTAGGATATTAAAATCTCTCCAGTCTAGGATTGCTTCATTTATCTACTTTACTTATCTTTAAGAAATCACTGTGTATGAATTCAGAATATTAAAACTTATTTGAGTCATGCTTAAACACTCATGCAAAACTTTGTGCGAACTTTACACTTAAAAACAACATTGCAAATTTGATATTGCAGACTTATCAACGATCATATGAATCACACTGCAAACAGATTAAAATAATTTTACCAACTTAAATGCTTGGTGCTGTAGAAACCGACCTACAGAGGAATCCTATCCAAAGAGTTTTACACATTCTTATCATGTATCTTTCATTGAAATAAAAATTATTTATATAATTCATAAGGTAGTAACTGGCGGGAGTGATATTTTTGTAGGATGGCGTGTATTACAAAAGAAATAGAACACTTTTTCAGAGACGGATAATTTGTAATTATCAAAAGAAAAGCATTTTCATTTGTATATTTTGACTTATAATTCCTTGGCTTTAATTATGATTCATTTATGAAATATTTAAAAACAAAAATAAAATTTTGGATTGAACAAAAATATTTGAATGAAAGGGAGGGTTTATTAGATAAAAAGATGGACTCTTTCGGTAGTTATACACGCGCTTAATGTCAACAAACACATGAAGTGCAAAACAGCTGAAAGTATGGATGAAAAACGTTATTTAATAATTTAAAAAAAAACTAATTATAAAAACGTATCCACCCCCAAAACAGGAGTTTTGAATGTCGAATTTGCGCTCAAACTCAACTCCCTTACATAGCCGGTCACTCCCTTTAAGGTAAAAAGATGGTCGGCGAATTGAAAACACTGTGCAAAACAGTTGAAAGAATGGGTGAAAAAGTCATAAAATTTTAGAACTTTCCACCTTTAAAAATATTCTTTTCCAATAAAATGGCATCTTATCAAGCTAAAACTGACAACCAGGAGTCCGACAAGGCTAAACTATTTTTACCTCAGGGCTTCAACAATTGGCCAATAAAACCTGAAATTATATTTTTCTCTCCTGCTGCAGATCAATTCAAATCTTTATTGAATTCATTCTTAATTTTCCATCCAGCATTATTTCAACCACTGTCCTCAATCAGAATTTTGCCAATTACTCTTTTAAAATTGTAACAAGAGACAAGCACTTTGCAGCTTTGGCAGGGGCGGTTAATGATATTTTCCAGGGGGGGGGGGAATAATTGAATAATTTGTTATCCTACCTGGCAAAAAAAAAAAAATTTAATCAATTCCTAAAAATCAAAATGAAAGGGCTAGAAGATGCCTGCTCTCTCTTTCTTGCGCTATTAATTTTTCCAGGGGGGGACGTCCCCGCTTTCCCCCCATAAGCCGAGGCTTTGAAACCTTCACATCCAGGGCTACAAAAACACATAAAAGGTCAGTCAAAAGGGTTTAGGCGTGGAAACAATTTCTAGTTGTCCAAGTCGCATAAGTTAGTAAAGATTTCTTTGCAAGAAGTTCATTATTAATTTTAATTTAATTAATTAAATTTAATTATTGCATTTTCAATATCTTGTGTACTAGGAAAGGAACAAAATTAGATCGAATTAAAGGAGGTGAGAAATTGACACAAACTCAAATGTTCTAATTCCTATATCTTATTAAACCTAATAGTGTTGCCGTTGGATAATATAAACTTTGACTATTTGATATAACACAATTCAAAGTTTGAAATAAAAGGTCTGCGACATGAAGCTGCAAAGATGTAGGGATTAAATAATTTGAGCTTGTGGCAAGAACTCAGTTCCTTTAAACCTATTCTGCCTAAAATGAATGACTTGACTAATAGATAGATGGATAAATGGATAGATAGATAATTAGTTAGATAGAACAGACATTTTTCTCGGTTTTATCATTCCCTGCTTTCTTTATGCAAACATAGTTTCTAAGACTATGAGAAGTGAGACCCATCCCTCCGTCCGTAGTTGTAGTAACTAACTACTCAGTCGGGTTCAAACCTTGATCAGGGTTAGGTGTTCAATTATCTCTCATCCTGATACAGGAGACTAGTGAACAGTGATATAGGAGGTTAGAAAGGGGCTACACAAGTCTAGGAGGTTGACGAGGGGGTAACCAGGGGAGCTGAGTGTTGAGGAACACTATGGGGGGTTTCAGTAGAAAAAATACTTTTCTAATCTTCCTCATCCTAATACTAGTCTCACACGTTTTAGCTCAGGTTAGAAAAATAATTATTTGAGAGCATTTTGTATTATGTTTGTTGTCTTGTTGATTTTTTTTTTTACAAAATTCCTCTTTAATTTGATCTTTTTTATTTTATTTTGTGAACAACCATATCATAGCTTTTATCAAGTACAAATAATTTGGGTCATCCTGTACAGTATTATGTACATGATCTTAGAATGTACATGTGCAAGGATATTAATGATCAAAGTATCCATAATAAACTGGAAACTAAATATCCTTTTACCCTGTACTTGAATATTCTGAAACAGTACATATTGTACAGTGTCCAGTACATTTATATTCTGAAATTAACTGTGCAGTGTACATGAATATTCTGAAACCAACTGCACAATATACATAAATATTCCGAAACCAACTTTACATTGTTCATTAATATTCTGAAACCAACTGTACAATGTAAGGTACATATATGTTATAACACCAACTGTGCAATGTACGTAAATATTCTAAAACCAACTGTACAGTGTACAATGTACATGGATATTCTGAAACCAACTGTACAATGTACATGTATATTCTGAAACCAACTGTACAATTCACATAAATATTCTGAAACCCACTGTACATATATGTTATAAAACCAACTGCACATTGTACATTAATATTCTGAAACCAACTGTACAATGTAAGGTACATATATGTTATAACACCAACTGTACAATGTACGTAAATATTCTAAAACCAACTGTACAGTGTACAATGTAAATAAATATTCTGAAACCAACTGTACAATGTACATGTATATTCTGAAACCTACTGTAAATATATGTTATAAAACCAACTGTACATTGTACATAAATATTCTAAAACCAAATAAACAGTGTACATAAATATTCCAAAACTTACTGTACAATGTACATAAATATTATAAAACAAACTGTGTGCAGTGTACATGAATATTCTGAAACCAATTGTACAATGTACATGAATATTCTAAAATTGACTGTGTACATGTATCTTCATATTTCAATTAAATCTGTAGATATTACCCATAGATTTATTAAAATAACAGATAGGACATTAGATTTCAAGATTTGGATGAAACTTGTTCACAATAACCCTGAGGCAGAAGCCCAGAGGAGTTTCGCGCAGTTGGCGTAGAACAGGTTCTCTCTGTCTTGAAATTTAGTTTCATCCAAATCTTGAAAAGACGACATCTAGTGTCCTATCTGTTATTTTAATTAATCTATGATATTACCGCTGGCCAGGGTGTGTTCTAATAAACTTCTTCTTCTAATAGATTAATTATTATATACAACTATTACTAATGTCTAAACTAAGATTTTAAACGTATTTCTATTTCACGAGAAACTAATTAGAGCTAAATATTTACTCTGCTAGCGGAAAAGAATAAAACCTTCAGGTCGTAACTTTATACGTTTAAACCATATCAAAAACGCTAAGTCGATTATCCACCCTCCCCCCCGCCCCTCCCCCCAATCGGATAGAAATAAATTGGTTTAAAATAGTCTCTATTCTATGTTGCTTCTTTTTGCTCGAATTTTAAAGAGTTAATCTTGTCAAATCAAAATTTTCGACGTCTGTAAACACTTCACATCATTTTTCGAGATGAGTGAACTAACAACGGGGTTTCTAGTTCCTATATCTTTGCAACCTGATGAAGTGAACCTTTTATTTATATCAAACTTAGATTTTTTGATCTAACAGAATTCAAAGAAAATCAGAGTTTGTGACAAAGACTCAATTCATTCAACCAAACTCAGTTCTGTTTATATTTGTCATAAAATCCATTAAACAAATAGAAATGAGCAGTCATACTTGAAATTTTTAAACTAATATCTCATTGAGAAATGCCATTTTTTCTAATTTTAAAAACTGAAAATATTTAAAAAATTGCAATTTTTGACGCAGAGAAGTATTAGCTGATCACATAATAATTCAAGGTTAAAAGGAGAATATGCCTAATTTATAAATTAACAAAGATGAACTTACCATTACGGTTTTAGAACTTACTTAGTTTGTCTTCTTTCAGAGTCAGGTTTCAGTCTATTTACTCACTTAACCAAAACTGATTAAAAACGTTTAGGATTAAAAATTTGTATGGGTTTTACGCTCATGAGCATAAGACGCTTTTAACAATTTTCTCCTTCTATATACGCAACAGTTAAAAGTAAAATTAGTAACGATCGATATCGAATTCAATTTGATATCAGACTATATACACCTTTTTCATTTTTTGCAATACTTCCTTTAATGTTTAAATGAAGCAATTTTTGTAGGATCCAATCATTCTTGTTTTTTTGTTCGTTTCAACTTCGCATGTACTTTTTAGACCAAATTCAAATTTTCGTGTATTGCTTTTAATCCAGTATTTAGATTCATTTATTATTGCTAAAAGATTAACAAAAATGTGTTCATGAATGTGCTAAGAGAAGAACATGTCGGCGTGAACAAAACAAAGTAATTATGTTAATCTTATTGTTTAATTATGGACAGAGCAATAAAGGATAATATGATTTTAAATATGTCAAAATCGGAGAAACATGCAGTAAATTTTACCCTACATTTTGTAGAAATAAGTAAATATTAAAAGATGCCATGAAAATATTCCTAATCCAGGCGTTTTTGAAATTTTGAAAGATTGTCTAAAATCTTCCAAGTCAATTTTTTTCATATAAAAAAAATGTTTTTAAAGTACTTTTTGCAATGTATCACAAGGTGCCCAGCAGAGTAGATAAAGAACGGGTTGAAGAAACAGTTTATTTCATCAGGATGTTTATATACTGAAATACAATACAAAATGATTATAAATGATTACAATTAAGCGAAATATAGATATTTATAGTTAAATTGTCTACCTACGATGCTCAGGGTACTAATAGAAGCTGATTCTTAGCAAGTCTTGTGAACACTATCATACTGTAGATACAAAGTGTACCTAAACTGTTGGTATCCTACAATCTGAACCAGGTTTGATTTCCAAGAGAAATATCAGTAAACATTACATAATAAAGAGGGGGAGGGGCGTACTGCAAACTACAGCGCAGTACACAAACACCTATCTATCCATCATTGCAAAAAGTGATATTATCACGAAGCACGTTCACAAACACAATTCATAGTTACAGAATTTTTTTTTAATAAAATGTTTATCAATTTATCTTTAAATAAACATAAACGGAAAACCTGGCAGTTTCTTTTGGAGACGTGGGAGGGGGGGGGGGTAAAACAATTTAATTCTACAAATAACGTTGATAGAATTAAAAGCCTGACCATTTTCTTTCTTGAGTTTTCTTGAGTGTGGAAATTGAACCTGATCTAAAACAACAATAGACATATTTACATTGCTTATGCAGAGAATATAATAATAAAAGGGGGTTGCTGTTTACAATATTTCAAGGATGTGAATTTGAAATATAAAGAGCTAAATCGTCATGAGTTGAACTGAAAACTTATTCAAAAATAATCTTTCGGAATTTTCATTCTTTTCTTGAGTTCTTTTTAAGTGCGTCTTAAAAATTGACATTGATATGAATTCGAGTAATTGTCTCAAAACCAGGATATGTTCTGAAAACGCGACATGAGCTGAAATCCGGTAATTGTTTCAAAATAGGGATATGTTCGAAAATGAAATCAAGAATCATCAAAAACTGATTCTCACATCTTATTATTAGTTTAGGATTGACACTTATTGTTTCTATATATAGTTTTAGTCAAGGATTTAATGCAAGGAAAGTTATTTCAGATGTGTACACATCTTTTGTATCTGGGCGGTAATATAAACACAAGACGGATGTCGAAGCCTGACATGGGATCCATCTTTCACATAAATAATCAATGAAATATTCTGGTCATAGGAACCTATTTTGTGAATTATCAAAATTATCAAAATTCAATGCTTTTAACCTCCTCGGATACTAAACGAACACTGAGGCATCTATTCTTGTTTATAAATTCCGCCCAGAGAAACAGGTTTCAATATGTGCGCAGAGTATACGCAACTGTAATTAACTTTCCTTATATTACACTCTTGGTTTTAGCCATTTTTTTTATGAATATATGGTGTAATTTTTGTTCTACTCGTCTTGGATTTAAAGAAATGTACTCTTGAAAAAGATAACTTTGCAGATTTGGCCCATTTTTAACACTCAGTGTTAGAAATGGGCCAAGTGTTAGTTTTGGAACTAATATCCCCTGTGTTTGAATTCAATTTCGTTTCACTGCATATTTCAATAATCTGTTAACTTATAACTATCTTTTTTACTCTTTCATTGAAAACGCATATGCCAACACTAAATGTAAACGATCTCCAATCTCCATGAAATAAGCCATCTCCATGACAGAAGCTATCTCCATGACACAAGCTATCTCCATGACACAAGCTATCTCCATGACACAAGATTTTGATATGAGGAATTAGTTGGCTGGAAAAATAATAATCTTTATAGTCTTTAGACTTTAATACGTCTCTTTGTTGTGGTTTTATTAAAGACGCTAGAGAACAGTTTAGGTCCTTGTCCTCGCAAGAGTTGTGACATAATTTTATCTCTTTTTCTCCAAAAGTTTAAAGATTTTTAAATCATAAACTAAACCGAATGCGTCTCTCCCATGGTTATATAGTCCAGAGCTGAAATCTTTACAATGGAATATCCATAGATTAATAAAAATAACAGATATAACACTAGATGTCGTGTTTTCTAAATTTGGATGTAACTCGTTTACAATAACTGTTTCTTATAGACAAGAAATGCGCAAGTCACTTTCACAGAGAAACCGCAAATTAAAATAAACAGTTGAGAGAAACAAAAACATCGATATCTAATATTTGATACTTGATCAAGCAAAGCTCTCAAGGGTACCGTTGTAAATCAGGCGTTGACAACTTTGTATGGAGGCTCACTTAAAATTACGCATACAGTCCCTTAAGGCAATGGTTTGCAGACTGCATAATAAACGTACGCTTAGATGATTTGAATTGTTTCTGGGATAGATCTTCTCCTATTCATTCTCTAGACCCATTGTTTACGTCTATCAACCGATCTATTTATATAACAAACAGTGGGTTCCAGTAAAAATGAAGAAAAAGTTCAAAGACGATTTTAAATTAAGTCAATAATTTATAAAGAAAAACATCAACGTCGTATCAATTTGGTCAATACGATGGTTCAAGATAAATTGTCTGCCTTTTTAGATTTTTTTTAAATACAGAGATAAAGTTGATAATTGTACATTCCGGCTTTTTATAATTGGCATTTTTTTAATTGTTTGTTTCCATTCATACATTTAAGCGCTGCATACTTTGAACGGACGTATTCAAACGCTAAATACTTGAAATGCTTCACAATTAAACGCAACACCTACACATTTCACATGTTACATATTTAAAACGTTACAAACTTCAACCGTTTCACGTATATTTTAAACGCCACATATTTGAAATTATGTAGATTTAAACGCTGCACATTTTAAATGTTATATCTGTTAACCGCAGCACATTTCACACGTTACATATTTTAACCGTTACAAATTTTAACCGTTACATATTTTAACCGTTACAAATTTTTAAACTCTTTATTTTTAAAGGGACGGGTAATTTCAAGTGACTCTCCATGGTAAAGATGACATGTCCCGATTCACAACAGGACCTTTGATACAATTCTCTGATCAATAATATGAAAGATAAATTGTCGTTTTTTCTAGGTTCAATGGTGTCTTATTCTGATGATTACTATAGGTTTTTCAGCAGTAGAAATGTACGCAAATCACTTTGTAGAGAAACCACAAATTGAATAATCAGAGCGTGGATTAAGCAAGAAATTAAATAAATTCGGATTAAGCAGTCGGGATGGAAGGTATCCCAGCTCAGATTTCAAAATTATAAAAATGATATCTATTAACTAAGTCATACAGACAAAGCTGTACGGGTACCGTTGTGAATCGGCCATAGCCATCTTTGCTTGAAGGGTCACTGAAAATGTTACTTACCGTTCCTTTAAACGTTACACATGGTTCTTGAATTTTTATATTTTGTAGTTTCTGGAACAATCTAGAAGATGGATACGTGTCAGTTTAAATTAAGCAGAATGAATGCGGAGATACTGGGTTAACCTAGGGAAGACGTCAAAAATAAACTTTCGGAGTAAAGTTTCGCATTTTTATAAAGGTTATTTTCAACCATGAGATAAAATATTTTTTTTTTAAAATAAATAAATATTTTTTTAGGGAAAAATGCATTTTAAAAACTGTGTCTGCATCCTTCATTATCCACTTGTTTTTCGAAAAAAATGTATTTTTAACTATTTGCAATTGTTTTGTTATATGTAACAAAAAACTTGAAAGAAAAATAAAATTTTTGTCATCGTTTTGCTGAAAACATTGTTTTATTTAACATGCTATATAAATTTTAGAAGGCCGGACCTCAACGTGTTAGAAGAATAATCTATAATTTGCTCATAATAGATATTTACATACATGTTAGCTATAGCTGGGCAAATGGCTTCACTGCACCCCACAGTACCCCAAAGTACCCCGCAGTACCCAACAGTACCCTGCAGATATGGGGATTACAAATTGGCGATGTTGCCATCCCTCCCTCCATTAAGTGATAAGCTGATTAGTATTAAAATAGCTTTAAATAAAAATAATGGAAAACTATAAAGAAAATATGCTTAGAAGTGCTTCAGACTCTGCATATATATTTTTATTAAAAATTCTGTTGGTTTCTGTACCCCCTACCCCCAGTATACCCCACTAAAGCCCAGTACTTTGCAGTACATTGTAGTACCCTGTACCCTGAAGTACTCTGTATTCCCTGTTACAATCACTTTCCATTAACAGATTTGTGAATTACAAATTGGTGTTTTTGCCATTCCTCCCTCCAATGAATCATCAGCTGTTTAGTTTTATACCATATAAACATAATCTCTATTATACTGTTTTACACAAATGAAAATTATGCAAAACTAGGGCAACCCAGAAAAGCTTCTATATAAGTTCTAAATATTTTTGTTCAAAATAATAATTCTGTTTGGTTTGGCAACTTTTTTCTGCAGAATCTTTCCTACTAAGGAACCTTCTTATCATCTGACACAACCGACAATAAACATTTACACCCCCGCATACACCGTAGTCATACACGCACTACAATACACGCTCAAAATGTTATTTTTATTTTTAAATTATATTTTCGCACGATTTTTCGCGTCTTGCATTTGTTTTTGTAGACTCCAAGGACTCTTGAAGTTGAATATGACAGAACTTGTAATAAAATAGACGTCACTTTAATAAAGAATAAGAATGAAGCATTATTGTCTACTCTCTACACCTATTAAGTTGTCTACTGTATAATCTATTAAGTTGTCTAGTGTTATCACCTATCTATTTAATATTATTTCCTAAAACTATTTGTCTAATGTCTAATGTCTACACCTATCTAGTTGTCTAATGTCTACACCTATCTAGTTGTCTAATGTTCACGCCTATCCAGTTGTCTAATGTTCACGCCTATCTAGTTGTCTAATATCTGCATCTATCTAGATGTTTAATGTCTACACCTATCCAGTTGTCTAATGTTCACGCCTATCTAGTTGTCTAATGTCTGCATCTATCTAGATGTTTAATGTCTACACCTATCTAGTTGTCTAATGTTCACGCCTATCTAGTTGTCTAATGCCTGCATCTATCTAGATGTTTAATGTCTACACCTATCTAGTTGTCTAATGTCTACACCTATCTAGTTGTCTAATGTCTACATCTAGATAATTTTATTTCCTAAAACTAGTTGTCTACTGTCTAAACCTATCTAGATATGATTATTTCCTAAACTAGTTGTCTAATGTCAAATGTCTAATGTCTAAACCTATCTAGATAATATTATTTCCTAAAACTAGTTGTCTAATGTCTAATGTCTATTGTCTAAACCTATCTAGATAATATTATTTCCTAAACTAGTTGTCTCATGTCTAATGTCTATTGTCTAAACCTATCTAGATAATATTATTTCCTAAACTAGTTGTCTCATGTCTAATGTCAATTGTCTAAACCTATCTAGATAATATTATTTCCTAAACTAGTTGTCTAATGTCTAATGTCTAATGTCTAATGTCTACACCTATCTAGATAATATTATTTCCTAAAACTAGTTGTCTAATGTCTAATGTCTATTGTCTAAACCTATCTATATAATATTATTTCCTAAACTAGTTGTCTCATGTCTAATGTCTATTGTCTAAACCTATCTAGATAATATTATTTCCTAAAACTAGTTGTCTAATGTCTAATGTCTATTGTCTAAACCTATCTATATAATATTATTTCCTAAACTAGTTGTCTAATGTCTAATGTCTATTGACTAAACCTATCTAGATATGATTATTTCCTAAACTAGTTGTCTAATGTCTAATGTCTAATGTCTAATGTCTATACCTATCTATATAATATTATTTCCTAAGACTAGTTGTCTAATGTTTAATGTCTACACCTCTATAGATGAAAGTCATCCCCCTGTGTGAGTGTGTTCATTGACGAAGGCCTTAAAACAAATATTTAAAATGAGAAACCTGAACCCTGCCAGTCTATTAGTCTAGTCGGATAAAGGCAATTATCAAAAAATATATTTTTACAATATATTCAGGCGTTTCGGTTTTTGAGCAAAAGTAAACCTTATAAATCATATAAAAGTCCACCTAAGATTTGTAAGCTTTGATAACAAATTAAAGGGAGTGAGCTTTTGCCACTAACTCTGATTTTCTTATATCTTTACAGCCCGATGTCGTAGAGCTTTCATATTTCAAACTATAGAGTCTGTTAGGTCAAATGCATTAGGTTGCATAGATATAGGGATTGGAAAATTTGAGTTTGTGATAAAAACGTAAAGTTGCCAATTTAAAGATAATTTTTAGAACGTTCAAATCGCAGCGCTCGGGTAACAAATATAACGTATCTGGATTGTATTCCCGCCCTTATAACACGATTTGTTATAGAATTTGGCAAAATTATTAACAATGGGGAGGACAAATTTTTGCAAGAAATAATATTAATGAAAACAAACTTGATTAAATTATCAATATATTTGGAAATACAACGGGCAACTCAGGGCATTTCAGATTGTAACATTTATCAAAATCTTCGTCGGAAAGTCAAAAATACTTTGAGACACCTATTAAACTGTAATTTGCATGGCATTAGAACAGGTTTGTGCAAATTTTATTGAATTAAGATAAAATTAGGAATGAGCTGACTTTTCAAAAAATATATTCACGACGCTTGGCGTAGGTGAATGGGACATTCTGCATAAAATTGATTTGCAATCATTGTTGTCTCATGCAAAAATGAAGTGCAAAGGTTAACTAGCGAGTTTTGCAATGCATTAACTCGTGTTGGATATCTCTGCCATCTCAACATGATCTTGGTTATGGGCAGGGAAGGCGAAAAAATCGGGAAAAAATATTGCTTAAATGTTTAAAAATTACAACCTCAATTTTGCGATAAATTTGCGAGTTTTTGTTGCAGTTCATGGATTAATATTTGGCAAATGTGAGGGAGAAAATTGTTAACTCAATTAGTCCCCACCCACTATTTAAAACTTTTTGCCTAAATTCCTAGATAGATAAGTTTTCCTGACGTTCTGCATTTTCCCAAAGAGAAAGTGTTCAAACGGCCATTTTCCAAATGAAAAATTTCCCATAATTTTCCTAATAAAACTTAAATTGGTACTAACGATTAGAGAACATACTCTGATGCATAAATAACATTTTTAAATACAATAAAATACTAAAACTAACTCTTAAAATGCAAAAATATATTAAAAATTTGCTCATTACAAAAAAAATTGAAATTGTAACTTAATTTGGGAAGTGTGCTGGAAAACATGCAAAAATTAATGAATTAATAATTTCAAAATATTTGGCTTATAGCAAATTGGTATCAAAGATTACAACTTGTTCTAATGCATGATTATGCATATTTTTAAAATATTTGTAGAAAGCAAGTTGTGGTATCAAAGATTACATCTTGCTCTGATGCATTTTTATGCACACATTTTTAAAATATTTGGCTTTAAGCAAGTTGGTATTATAGATTACAACTTGCTGTTGTGTAAAAATGCATTATAGATTAAGGTTTAAACATTTGTTATTTTGAAAAAAAGTATGTGACGATATTTCTTTCAAAAAGTTAACAAATTACAAAAAGATCGAATTTGTTGCAAAATTTTCCATCATGCGTCTTTGTACCTGAACACATAACTAAAATGTTGGAAATTCACTATTTAAAGACAATTTAAAAGTTGTCTTTTAAAAACAATGTACATTTTGTATTGTGCATTGTGCTGTTTCAATTTTGCATTGTGCTGTTTCAATTTTGCATTGTGCTGTTTCAATTTTGCATTGTGCTGTTTCAATTTTGCATTGTGCTATTACACAATTTTGCATTGTGCTATTACACAATTTTGCATTGTGCTATTACACAATTTTGCATTGTGCTATTACACAATTTTGCATTGTGCTATTACACAATTTTGCATTGTGCTATTACACAATTTTGCATTGTGCTATTACAGTTGTGCATGATGCTATTAGAATTGTGTATTTGTACTGTAAGAATAAATGGAATGTCTAGATTCAGTGCAATTTATTGTATTGCAGTTCTGAGAAAAGCTCTAAATGAAAAACCATTTCTCCTACAATTATATTACATTTATAAACTCCCTGATGATAAAAATACTTAACTTCACACTGAATCTAAACATGCTAAAATTGCTTTTTCGCGGATTTTCGTAGATTTTAACAAAATGTTTAATTTCAGAATAGATTTGCGATTGAGCAACGAGCTTCAGAGGGGAGTGGTGCTCTAGATTATTATGATGACCTGGAGAATGTTTATGAAGATCTAGAGGTAGGAAATATCAAATAGTTAAACTTATTTTCTTCTTAATTTTCATTTTTAAACTCAGCTTTTATCTCAAACTACTCCCAAACTACTCCTTCTACAAATACTCTTTCCCAAACTATTTAGAGCTTTCATATTTCAAACTATAGAGTCTGTTAGGTCAAATGCATTAGGTTGCATAGATATAGGGATTGGAAAATTTGAGTTTGTGATAAAAAAATACTCTTTCCCAAACTATTTCGTTTCATACTAGCCCTTCTCCAAATACTCCTTATCAAACTACTCCTTCTCAAACTACTCCTTCTCAAACTACTTCTTCTCAAACTACTCCTTCTCAAACTACTCCTGCTCAAACTTCTCCTTCTCAAACTACTCCTTCTCAAACTACTCCTTCTCAAACTACTCCTGCTAAAACTACTCCTTCTCAAACTACTCCTTCTCAAACTACTCCTTCTCCAATTTCTCCTTCTCCAACTACTCCTTCTCAAACTACTCCTTCTCAAACTACTCCTTCTCAATCCTTCTCCAATTTCTCCTTCTCCAACTACTCCTTTTCGATCGATTCTTTTTTAAACGAACTCTATAACACAGATTTTTCTCAAACTACTCCTTCTCCGACTACTCCATCTCAAACAACTCCTTCTCAAACTACTCCTTCTCAAATTACTCCTTCTTAAACTTCTCCTTCACAACTACTCCTTCTCAAACTACTACTTCTTCAACTACTCCTTCTTAATTTTGCAATTTTGCAATTTTGCAAAACTCTCCGCCCTGTATAATAACCATCAAAATTTGCATAAATCTGAGTAAGATCATGGTATATATGGATGCAGGGTGGGGTGTTTTCATCGGGAATGAAATTGAATGGAGTTTACTGCAAATTAGACAAACCTTACTCAGCCGCTTAACCTCATTAAAGTTTAGGTGTGGAAAGTGTTGTACTTCTGTTCTTTATGTAGCAGAGACAATAAATTGATAAAACTGGATTTTGTGTTATAATTGCAAATTGCATTTGCAGTTTTGTTTGGTAATAAAACAACATGTAGGATCTCAAAAACTAAAAATCCCTGAAAATAGTAATGCGAAAATGTCTGTGAGAAGTTGTCATTTGGGTAAATACCTGTTGGAAATTGTCTTTTGGGAAAATGTCTTTAGGAAATTGTCATTTGGTAGTATGTCCTGTGGAAATTGTCATTGAGGAAAATGTCGGTGCAATACTGTCATTTTGGTAAATACTTGTGGGAAATTGTCATTTGACATTGAACCAGCTTCCACATTCTATGAATCAATTAAAATATCTTTAGGTAGATATCCTGACCGTATAACAGAACTAAAGCTCATGTTTTAAAATATCTTTAGGTAGATATCCTGGCAGTATAACGGAACTAAAGCTCCGATATAAAGTTTATGTTGTTGAGGATATCTATTTTAGTCGATGTTTCTAATCTAACATAAAGTACTTTACGCTAATTTTACCTTTACGCATTTCCGTACGCTCTTCAGTGGACAATGCGTTTGTTTACAATGTACATTCAACTAAAGTATCGGGTGTAGCATCCTTGATCTGCGTGAGAATTTGTTGGAGGGAACTGATATGAATATATAAAGATCTAGGATCATAGAGAGTAGAATATATATTAGAGGGGAATTTACTAGAAAAAAGTGTAAAACGGCCATTTTGTTGTACTGTTTCCATACTGCAGGTGTACTTCACATATTTATGCTATATAACCTTTTGGGCCCTGGAATATCATTTTATAAAAAACCAAATTATGAAATAGGCTGGTTTCATAATAGACCAATGATCATATCACATAGACTCTATGCCTTTCACTTTAACAAACGATGATTTTTCGTTATAGCTGTAAATCAAATGATGTTTTTTATTCACCTAATTCATTATAAAGTTTATTTAACAGTTTAAAAAATTCGAAATTGAAATGGATAGTCTATAGGGAACATACTGTATTAATGTACTCTACTGCATATAATTTGTGAACATTTACATAATTTGTACACTTTGAACTACCTTTCAGGCTGAAAGGGACTGAACAAATTCATACCGAGGGATTGTCTAAATTCCACTCTAATATATATTCTATTCTCTATGTCTAGGATTGATAACATCTAATTTACACAGTTCACCTCTCACGATTATGAATTTTTTATTAGATACATCACACTCGCTTCTTCATTTTCTGATTTATTGTACTTTCTCAGTCATTGTCTAATTTTTACTTTTTAGATCATTGTCTAATTTCTGGTAACTTTTGAGATCATTTGTCTAATTTCTGGTAACTTTTTTTAGTAAATTGTCTAAATTCTGGTATTTTTTTCAGAGCATTGTCTATTTTCTGGTAACTTTTTCCGATCATTTTCTCATTTGTATTAACGTTTTGAGATCATAGTCTCAATTTCGTGACGTTTTAGTCTCATTGTCGTATTTTAAGCAATTTTTAGACCTTTAAGAACTTTTTAAAGAATTTTTGAAACTGTTAGGATCAATTTCTTATTTAAAGTACTTTCAGGTATCATTTCCTGATTTTAGATCTTTTGACTTTTCACTTTTAACATTTAGATTTTCTTATCTCTAGAACTTTCTTCGGATCCTTTTATTATTTTTTAACGTCATTTTTTTCAATGCTTTTTGGGCTTATTGTATGCTTTATAACACTTTCAATGTCTGATTTTTGGTTTTTTTTTTGGGGGGTTCATTGTCTTATTTTCTACAATTTGGGATCTTTTATGGTTTCAAAAAAAGTTCAGAACAAAATCTGATTTCCAAATAGTTTATATAATTTTCAACTAATTTAATCAGTTGATCCTGCATTCTTCAGAAAAGACATTATGTTGACAATGCAAGTAGTTTATTCTTTGCTGGACAGGATTTATATGACAGGTTACATACACCCTCTCCATACTAGAGGTTTATCACTGGAGTTTTATAAACCATGGACTCCGTCTAAACTCTAAACTACTAGATATATCAAACCTTACTCAGTATTTTTACCAAACCACACACAGTTAAGATATATCATGTATACCACTAAACAACACACAGTTTAGATATATCATATATATCACCAAACAACACAGAGTTTAGATATTTCATGTATTACATCAAACTGCACACAGTTTAGATACATATACAACCTAACCACAGTTTAGATATGTAAATACTATATAGTACCTACCAAACCAAAATTTCTCCTCTTCCCATCCAGGCATATCTACTGCATATCCCCACTCTTATCATACATTCAAACCTTTGCCCATCCCTTTTTCCATTCATTCTCCTTCTCTGTATCTAACCAAACCTTCTCCAACCCTCCTCCTCCTCTGTATCTGACCAAACCTTCTCCAACCCTCCTCCTCCTCTGTATCTAACCAAACCTTCTCCAACCCTCCTCCTCCTCTGTATCTAACCAAACCTTCTCCTCCTCTCCTCCTCTGTATTCAACCCAATCCTTCTCCTCCTCCATTTCTAACGCAACTTTTCTCCAACCCTTCTTTTCTTTTGTATCTAACCCAACCTTATTCAACCCTTCTCCTCCACTTTATCTAACGCAACCTTCTCAGACAGAATTTATGTTCTGTATCTAACCCAACCTTTTCCGACCCTTCTGCTTCACTTTATTTAACGCAACCTTCTCCAACACTTCTTTTCTTACGTATTTAACCCAACCTTATCCGAACCTTCTCCTTCACTTTATCTAACGCAACCTTCACAGACACTTCTTTTCTTATGTATTTAACCCAACCTTATCCGACCATTCTCCTCCTCTCGATCCAACCCAACCCTTCTCAATCCCTTTTCTTCCTCTGTATCCAACCCAACCTTTTTAGCCCCTTCTCTTCCTTTCTATTTGACCCAATCTGCTCAAACCCTTCTCTTCCTCTGTATCCAACTTTCTATATTCCTTTTCATCCTTCCAGAGTATTATCGTCCTCAAGTTTTCTTATCAAGGACTTAAACCCATTATCCGTTCTGTACTTTATCTCAACCTTTCAACTCATTTCTTACAAAAACATACAATATTTCAGGAAGGAGATGAAGGAGAAGGAAGTGGAGTATCTTTAAGTAACTCCGTGATTCTAAGATTTTATCTGTATCTCTCCCGGGACTGGGAGAGTAGTTTCAGTGATCATATGTCAACTCAGTACCTGGAGATAGCCAACAATGCAACGGAAACCATCCAGAACCTTTACTCCGGGGTACCAGGAGCACAGTTTATTACACTGGCAGATATTAAGTAAGTCAGAGTTTGAGTTTCATCCAATAATAAAATTTTTGAAGGGATGAACTAGGGTTAAGTTGTATCATACCTCCTTAGAATCGTAACTTTTTTCTTATTGTAGCTAATTGATAAATAGCACATTTTGAGGCGAAAACAAGTCTAAAAAAAGTGCTTTGCAGCTTTGAAATTTTCGTAACCATGGCTACAAAATAGTGAGCTCGTTCGGTTAAGACCTGGTAACACTTCAAGGTTGGCCCGATCTCAATAGTTGGTGAATAATTTTCTCACTAAAAGGAATGGTTATTCTTTTAATACTTTTTAACGTTTAATGAAAGAAAATGTATTCACCCATACAAGTTGATGTGAAAGTGTTGACTAAATATCTAAATGGTCTGGAAACATTTTTGTAATGAAAAAATTCAAAGTTTTAAAAAGCTTACTGGAATATTCAACGCTTTAAAGTAATATCTTTTTCAATTATTTTTGTTTTCCAACGACACTCTTAAACAAATACCCATGTTTTTAAAAATTACAAAAACATAAGATTTATTTTCTGTGTACTTCATTCAATTATTTAAATTTAAGAAACAGTCTCAAGAACTGACGAGGGTCAACCCAGACCGAAATATATTTTGTGGAATGTGGAACTAACATCTACTTTTTTACTCTACAGAGGTTTGGTCCATCACCATAACCGAAAATTAAATTAAATTTAATATATCCCTCATTATTCATGAATTTTATACAAAATTTGACAAATGGGGTATAAAACAATGTTTAAATATTGCTGCTTGTTTTTTGCATATCTGGGGTTTAACTATGAATTAGATATACAGCAGATAGATTCCAATTAACATTTTTCCCAATGTAAAATGTCTTAAATTTGACAATTTGTGGTATTTCTTGACAAAATCAAATTAATTTGAATCTTTTTTTTTAAATAAAGAAACTTTTATATTTCGAATTTTAACAATTTGATTTAGCAGATTTCATAATTTGAAATATCAACATCAGTTTGCAAAGATATAAAAGATTAGACATTTTTTGGAACACTCTGTAACAAGCTGTTATGCATGGGACAATATTCTTTGGTAAATTTTTGTGTAAAATATGTAATGTTAAACAAATAAGATAAGAATTATATTACATTCCGGGCATTCAACCCATAGACTAAACATGCAGGATTTAATACAGTGGGAGACATAAATTAAATAAAAATGGATTATGAAGACGACGATAAAGCAATCTTATGTGTATTTGATGTTGTTTTAAAGCAAAAGTTTTACCAGAGCATTCGGGAAAATACAGTTCGGATCTAAGCTGTTGTTAACCCTTATTTACGGCTTGAGCTTTCGGATTCAAGCTGCATCTTATTTTCCACAGAGTTGAGTTCAAACAACCGGTTTTATATTCTATTTGGCGGATTTTCATGGTAGGAATTGACACATTCCGGGTTTTTATGAGAAAAACTGCAACATTTAAACATACTGTGAAATAGAAACGTGTAAAGATAGACATAAAAAATTATTAAGTTATATATCAGAAAGGAGATCTCTACTGTTGTCATTGAATTTACACGAATTTACAATCAATTAAATAAGATACTGTAAACATAATTTTGTAGTTTTTGCAGAATAACTTTAAATATAAATAATATAAATATTAAATATAACTATTTTTTAGATAATTGTTATCCTAATAAATTAGGAAGGTTTGAGTGTATAAGGTTACATACCATGGGTTTGAAGTATCCCGTGAGAAAAAAGTTTAAAGAATCTTTTTCTACATCTTGCAGTAGATATTTTATACTTTATATATACTTTTTTGTTTAGACGCGGAACAACTCCAGGACTGCAATCTGTAACTATAGATCTACTCTCACAGAATAATGAGGACAAGTTAGGACTAATCCAGGTCCTCACATCAGCTATATCAGCAGGACAACTCCCTCTCTTCAGTCCTATCATTGACTCAGACTGGTGGAAAGAGGTAATTTTTTAACTTTCTTTTAGGGGTTGTTGACATAAGTTTAAGTGAGCAATTATTAAAAAATATTTTTCTAATGACTCTGTATTTAAAAAAGAGCATGTCTGATTCATAACTTTTTCCTCAAATTTCCTAATCTGTATTTATGCTATCTTTGATATTTAAAACTTAGATTATTTTATCTAACAGAATTCATGTTTGAAAATCTAAGGTCTACGACATTGGGTTGCAAAAACATAAAAATTATGAAGTCAGAGTTTCGACAGACTCATTTTTTTTAATAGCTATAAGCAGTTATAATTGTGTTTATTAAGTTGAACCACTTCTCTTGAACCTGAACTGGCACAATAGAGAAGTAGTTCAACTTAATCTACATAGTTCAACTTAATCTACATAGTTCAACTTAATCTACATAGTTAAACTACTTCTCACTTTTCATTTTATCTGAGGTCGAATTTAAAGAATTTAGGCCGCGGCTCAAATATGGTTTGTTGCCCTTAGAATTGTATTCAATTTGTCAAGATTTAAGCCGGCGCTCAATTTAAATCAGTGTTTTGGGGATTTGAGACGCGGCATAAATTCATTAAATTCGGACACTGGTCACAAGACTATATTATGTGATGTAGGTTAAGGTTGGTGGAATACAGCTCCCTGATCCTCTACCTCAACCTCCAGGATGCAGAGCAGATACTCAGATAGTCTGTCCTGGTACTCCTCACAGGTATTCTACACCTTGGAGTAATCCTCTTCAAATACCGGGTGTCCCAACTAAACATGACTGTTAAGCGACGATCTAAATATCGTCTTAGATCTTTGAGAATTATCTAATGTCAACCTTTTAAAATGTGTCCTTACTGGCCACCAAAGATAAACAACGACCTTTAATTTGTCTCTAAACTGCCGTGCTTTCTAGGACGAGAGAGGGGTGGCTGCTCTCAGGGTTTTGGAGTTTAGTTTTCCTCCGATATCTTAATAATTTTATTATTTTTAGTCTAGTGTGCGCCGTATAGACGGCTCTATATTTGATCTAGAACAATGTTTATTTTGTGACTGATGAGTAAAAACGCATTTTTAATGGCCACAATCAATCAAAGTTTTTTTAAGCGAAAAATTGGATTTTTTCAGAAAAAAACTTGGAAATAAGATAACTTAAAAAGATATAAAAAAGGGGTTGCAAGGCCCATTTTACAATTTTCGGGTTTAAAGTACCCTTTTTAAAGGACTTTTTATAAAAGTCTGATAAATTTTCACATTTTACTCCAAAACCCTGGGAGCAACTACAAAATTCTGGGAGCAATTTCAACCCTGAGAGCAGCCACCCCTCCCTCCTGGAACATTTAACTCCACCCGTCCTTAGTTCTATTACTACTTGATATTCTCTTATTTAGAATCTGTGAGGTTCAGCGCTGTGATGGAGTCGAGGACTGTCCAAAGGTTTTTAAACACTTCTACTCATTAAAAGAAATGATGCTGAGTGCAGACCCTATATGTTTATAACCGGAGGCATACACAGGATTTTGTCAAGGGTAGCTTAAATTTGTCCGGGTGGCTCCCATTGAAAACCATAAAATTCACTGATCCAGAGGGGGGGCTCAAAAGCTCTCCCCCCTGTGTACTTGCAGTCTACATGTACAATACAATGCAGTATAATACAATGCGCAGGATTAAATAATTTCATTATTGCAATATTGCACTTCTTCACCAATGACCATGAGGGTATTGAGATTTAGATCTTGATTAATAGTATATTTATTATTTTTGTAATTCGACATAATAGTTCAAAATCAAAATCCTTTCTTTTTCTTTGACCAGCTTTTCGAACCCTTAGGTGTTATAGAGGAGACTAAGAAAAACAGATTTTGAACTTTTCAAGTAATCTTAGTTTTCTCCTACTGTTGTAGAACCCCGGAGAGGAAGTGAGCTGGGATGAAAACCAGAACTGTATATCAGATCTAGACTATCTATCAACCCCTACACCAGAACTAGTCACTACAACAACTACAACAACTACAACAACAACAACGGTTGAATCGACAACAGCTTTACTAACTACCACAGATACCACAACAGCAGAACTAACAACAAGTAAGTAGTAATTTACATTTTTGGTATTTTCCTAGATGATAAGTTAAAAGTAAAAAACTTCTGGATCCCATTAAAAAGTTATAAAAGAACTGAGAACTCGCCACAAATTCATATTCCTTTACCTTTGCAACCTGATGTCACAGACATTTGATATTTCAAACTATAAATTCTGCTAAATAAAATAGTTTTAAATTTCAAAGGTTTTTAAAATATTGTGATTTAAACATTTATGGCAAGTGTTTATTTACTTTTTTTACTTGAGACCAAAGCGTTGGATTTTTTAATTACGGGAACTCTGTCAACCCATTTACTATAACAGTCAACCAATAACAAAACAGTCAACCAATAACAAAACAGTCAACCAATAACAAAACAGTCAACCAATAACAAAACAGTCAACCAATATAAAAAACAGTCAACCAATAACAAAACAGTCAACCATTATCAAAACAGTCAACCAATAACAAAACAGTTAACCTGTAAAAAAACCAAACAACCAATATAAAAAACAGTCAACCTATAACAAAACAGTCAACCATTATCTAAGCAGTCAGCCAATAACAAACCAGTCAACCAATAACAAACCAAACAACCAATATAAAAACAGTCAACATATAACAAAACAGTCAACCATTATCTAAGCAGTCAGCCAATAACAAACCAGTCAGCCAATAACAAACCAGTCAGCCAATAACAAACCAGTCAACCAATAACAAACCAACAACCAATATAAAAACAGTCAACCTATAACAAAACAGTCAACCATTATATAAACAGTCAGCCAATAACAAACCAGTCAACCAATAACAAACCAAACAACCAATAAAAAAACAGTCAACCTATAACAAAACAGTCAACCATTATATAAACAGTCACCAACAACAAAACAGTTAACCAATAACAAAACAGTTAACCAATAACAAAACAGTCACCAACAACAAACCAATCAACCAAAAACACAACTGTCGACCAATTTTGAATTACAGTCAACTAATAACAAAACAGTTAACCAATATAGATTTACAGTCAACATATAACAAATTAGTCAACCAATAACAAAACAGTCTACCAATAACAAAACAGTCAGCCAATATAGAATTACAGTCAACAACAAGACTGTCAACCAATAACAAAACAGTCTACCAATAACAAAACAGTCAACCAATACAGAATTACAGTCAACTAATAACAAAACAGTCAACCAATAACAAAACAGTTAACCAATAACTAAACAGAATTGGGAAGAGTTGGTTGGTTAAAAAGAACAAATTTTACGTTGCAGAGAAATATGATACATCCACAGTCAGGAATAGAGAGATAGTAAATTTCAGTGCTTAAGATAGTACCTAGATACCAGGCCCTACTTTCAATTCTGTCTTACTTTTAACCCTTTCAATAAATCAAGGTTGGATCGTAGGTTAGACTCCAAGTGTAAACCTAGCGTGTGAGTACGCATAATGTGGTATGCGTCATTAGCTTACTTATAAGCATTATTGATCAACAGGGAGAAACACATAAAAGACCTGGCAATATATGACATTCAGGGGCGTATGCAGGAATTTGTGCAGGGGGTTCAACCTATTTTGATATTCCAGGTGCGGGTTCAGCACCCGTTGGAATCCCCACCTGAAAATCATAGTTTTTACTTCTCCAGGGGGTTTGAGAGTCATTGCCCATAAAGCCCCCCCCCCCCTTAAATATTTACGCCCCTGGATAAACCTCAAATATCTTTCTTACAATATTAAAAACTTGCTCACATGTATTCTTTTTTTGTATTATTTTTTTCAAAATTGTATTTATGGGATTTATCTTGCATAAACATAGATATACAGGGTGACCCATAACGAATGAGACGCAATAGACGACTGTACGAAATTTATACTGTATGTTTTCTCACATTCAAAATTCCTGCAACTGCCAACTTGTTTTCCTACTTTGCCAAATCACTAAATAAACCATTAAAAGCTACGGATCGTCATATTATATGAGATCCAGGTCGTCCTTACAATCCCATTCTGTATACATTGTACAGCATACAATATACCACACAAACAAAACTACATTCCGTGAAACCTAACAAACCGTAAGACTAGTGTAGACAAGTGTATTTGCATGTAAAAATACTATGAAAAATAAATCCTCCGTTAAAGTTTAATCTTATGTGGCAGTTTATATTAAAGAAGCGTGCATCTTCTCAAGATAGTGTCACGGTATATCTCTTTTGCATATTTTCCCTCTCTCCCTCCTCATTCTTCTCTGCTCCCTACACCGTGCAATCATCTCCCTCGACTCATTTTCCCCTGCTCCCTACACCGTGCAATCATCTCCCTCCTCATTCTCCCCTGCTCCTTACACCGTCAATCATCTCCCTCGACTCATTCTCTCCTGCTCCTTACACCGTGCAATCATCTCCCTCTTCATTCTTCCCTGCTCCCTACACCGTGCAATCATCTCCCTCTTCATTCTTCCCTGCTCCCTACACCGTGCAATCATCTCCCTCCTCATTCTCTCCTGCTCCCTACACCGTGCAATCATCTCCCTCCTCATTCTCCCTACACCGTGCAATCATCTACCTCTTCATTTTCCCCTGCTCCCTACACCGTGCAATCATCTCCCTCCTCATTCTCCCCTGCTCCCTACACCGTGCAATCATCTCCCTCCTCATTGCTCTCTACTCTCTACACCGTGCAATCATCTCCCTCCTCATTGCTCTCTGCTCCCTACACCGTGCAATCATCTCCCTCCTCATTCTTCCCTGCTCCCTACACCGTGCAATCATCTCCCTCCTCATTCTCCCCTGCTCCCTACACCGTGCAATCATCTCCCTCCTCATTCTCCCCTGCTCCCCACACCGTGCAATCATCTCCCTCCTCATTCTCTCCTGCTCCCTACACCGTGCAATCATCTCCCTCGACTCATTCTCTCCTGCTCCCCACACCGTGCAATCATCTCCCTCCTCATTCTCCCCTGCTCCCTACACCGTGCAATCATCTCCCTCCTCATTCTCCCCTGCTCCTTACACCGTCAATCATCTCCCTCGACTCATTCTCTCCTGCTCCTTACACCGTGCAATCATCTCCCTCTTCATTCTTCCCTGCTCCCTACACCGTGCAATCATCTCCCTCTTCATTCTTCCTGCTCCCCACACCGTGCAATCATCTCCCTCCTCATTCTCTCCTGCTCCCTACACCGTGCAATCATCTCCCTCCTCATTCTCCCTACACCGTGCAATCATCTACCTCTTCATTTTCCCCTGCTCCCTACACCGTGCAATCATCTCCCTCCTCATTCTCCCCTGCTCCCTACACCGTGCAATCAACTCCCCCCTCATTGCTCTCTACTCTCTACACCGTGCAATCAGCCCCCTCCTCATTCTCCCCTGCTCCCTACCCACTGTGCAATCAGCTCCCCCCTTATTACTCCCTGCTCCCTTCCACTTGCAATCAGCTCCCTCATCATTCCTCCCTGCTCCCTACCACGTGCAATCAGCTCCCTCCTGATTCCTCCCTGATCCCTAACACGTGCGATCAGCTCCCTTCACATTCTTCTCTGTTCCCTACACCGTACATTTAGTTCCCTTCTCAGTCCTTCGTGCTTCCTACACTGTTCAATCAGCTCCCCCTTATTCTTCTCTGCTCCATACCTACCGTGCAATCAGTTACCTGCTTATTATCCCATGCTCCATACAGTGTGGAATCAGCCTCCTCATAATAACCCCCTACTTCCTGCCCTTATATATGTATTTTAGTTCCCTGCACCCTACCCTTCTATATATTTTAGTTCCCTGCTCCCTACCCTTCTATATATTTTAGTTCCCTGCTCCCTACCCTAAATATATATTTTAGTGCCCTGCTCCCTACCCTACTATATGTTTTAGTTCCCTGCTCTCTACCCTACTATATATTTTAGTTCCCTGCTCCCTACCCTACTATATATTTCAGTTCCCTGCTCCCTACCCTACTATATATTTTAGCTCCCTGCTCTCTACCCTACTTTATATTTTAGTTCCCTGCTCTCTACCCTACTATATATTTCAGTTCCCTGCTCCCTACCCTACCATATATTTTAGTGCCCTACTCCCTACCCTACTTTATATTTTAGTTCCCTGCTCCCTACCCTACTATAAATTTTAGTTCCCTGCTCCCTACCCTACTAAATATTTTAGTTCCTTGCTCCCTACCCTACTATATATTTTAGTTCCCTGCTCCCTACCCTACTATATATTTCAGTTCCCTGCTTCCTACCCTACTATATATTTTAGTTCCCTGCTCCCTACCGTACCATATATTTTAGTGCCCTACTCCCTACCCTACTTTATATTTTAGTTCCCTGCTCCCTACCCTACTATAAATTTTAGTTCCCTGCTCCCTACCCTACTAAATATTTTAGTTCCTTGCTCCCTACCCTACTATATATTTTAGTTCCCTGCTCCCTACCCTACTATATATTTCAGTTCCCTGCTTCCTACCCTACTATATATTTTAGTTCCCTGCTCCCTACCGTACTATATGTTTCAGTTCCCTACTCCCTACCCTACTATATATTTTAGTTTCCTGCTCCCTACTCTACTATATATTTTAGTTCCCTGCTCCCTACCCTACTATGAGTGTGAGAGTGGTGAATGTATACCCGGAGATCTGAAATGTGACGGGAACTCCGACTGTCCAGGGGGCGAGGATGAAAACCTAGAAGAATGTATAATAGGTTAGTTTTTTTGTAAAAAATATTGTATCATAGATTGGGTTAGGCCACAGGGTTAGGCTTAAGTATGGTTATGGATCATGCGTTAAGACTAGGCCTTATTATAATTGTCTTGGGCTATTTAGAAACTTGCCATTTTATTATTTTGTTTTTATCACAAACATCATTAAATTTTCTTTGATTTTCAACCATTGTTATTTTATCTCAAATTTTACAATAGTTTTCTAATCAGCAAAAGCAGTAAACATCTCTCTGGAACTAGCAGAGGATAATTTATTCATGATGGTTTTGTCGGAAAAATTTTATACTTAGATTAGGATTTGTTGATGAATTCCACCACCTCCTGTGATTGTTCCAGTAGAGTTGGTATAGGATTGTGATACATACAGTTATAATTAATTTACAGTGTAAACTTAGTTAAACTTATCGAGGAACATTCATTTTTGAAAATTTAAAACCTCTAACTAGTGTTAAGGAGGTTTAAAATATTTCAAAAAGTGCATGGTAAAGGTATGCAGCATAATAATGCTTATCCCCTTAACAAAAATGGGAAAGAGTTTAAAATGATATATTACAGTTTGTGGACCTGGTGAGTTTACATGTATATCGGACGGATCCTGTATTGACCGTATCCGGGTGTGTGACCGGATACCAAACTGTCCTGACCGGAGTGATGAGAAGGGTTGTCCCTGCGATCTAACTTCAGGAACCTTGATAGAATATCTTAAACTCTGATCCGTCCTGTCATGCTCGCGTCAAAATTTGCATACCAACCCCTCTCTCTCCCTCTCCCATCCTATTCTGTTTTTATGTTTTGAATATCAATTATGAATAAGAAAGGGGGGCGGAATAACGTTGTATACAAAGTAGTTTTCAATATCCAAATCCTCACAGAGGTCTAATTGGAACTCTAAACTCGAATATCATATTTAGCTTATCTTTTATAAGGGGCAATAATGTTACTTTCCAACTTCTATCGTAAGATACAGGGTTACCCAAAAATAATGAGATTTTAGAGACAACTGCACGGAATTCCTTATATTTATGATTCCTTGCAACTGTTAACTTGTGTCTTCCTTTGCCAAATCATTGAATAAGCCATTAAAAGACTAATTTAACTTTGTTATCGTTATATTGAAAGAGTTTCAGGTCGTCTTTCAAGAATCATTCCTTATGGGTAGCCCTGTATATGGTATAATTTAAAAAATGCGTTTTTAAAAGACGACATTTCCTGAAATCTATTTTAATTTCCCCTGTGAATTCATAAGAATAAGGCGACTCGCGGATTTGTGCATTTACAGCTTCAGCAATACAAATTCATTATAAATGTCAATTATGTCCGATTAACAAAAAACTAGAAATTTTATAGATAAATGTCGTCTTCAGCTGTCTATAACTAACCCTCCTATAGAAAAAAATAATGTCTATATCCGGTTAAAGAATGGACCTGTGGAGACGGATCTTGTATCAATCTAGGACTGAAGTGCGACGGAGTTAATCAAGTAAGTAAAAACTTATCATTTAAAACCTTAACTTTCTGCATTTAAAAAATAAAAATTAGTAAGAAAAACTGTATGATTAATTAGTGTCTCGACGGAAGTGACGAATCCTCCTGCTGTAAAGAAGACGATGTTAGATGTTCAAACGGATCTTGTGTCTCGTCCTATCTCCGCTGCAACGGAGTGAAGGATTGTCCGGCCGGAGAAGATGAGCAGGTTGTATCTCCGGAGCTAGATCTCCGGGTCTAAGTTTAACCTTGTGTTTATCTCTAGGGTTGCCAGGTTGCGTGTGGGGCGGATGAGCTGACCTGCAGGGATGGATCTTGTGTTAAAAATGAGGATATCTGTAATGATATCTGGGATTGTTCTCAGGGATTAGATATTACTTGAATATAAAAAAATCTTTCCCTACTGTGAGATCCAGGAAATTTTGGAATAGGAAGATATTATAGCAATACTTCAGTGTATTTGATGTTGTTACAAGGTATATAGTTTAACTTATTAAATCACGTATTAGGTTAAATGGGTCTTGTCAGTGTTACACTGCACAATTGTTGTGTCTCATGTTGATTGTACTATTTAAAGTCAAAGCTTGGGTCTAAAATTCCTCTTCCTATTACAGAGTTTTCTAATTTTTACTGTAGATATACAGGGTGTCCCACGAAACATGACAGTTGGTAAACAGTTTTAAATGTCTTCTTCTATAATTTGTTAAGTTGTTTGATACCAAAGAGAATAATAAAAAGTATCATATGGCATTTATAAAAAAGTGAATTTGATTTCAAAGTAAAAAATATTTGAGAAAAAGACTTTTTTAATGAAATAAACTGCGAAAAGTCTTCAATATACAATACAGTATACGGAAGAAGACGTTCAAAACTATTCACCAACTGTCATGTTTCGTGGGACACCCTGTATCATTTCTTTCAGATAATGAAAGAAATTCAAATGAAACTTGATTTGTTCCAGAGGTTGAAACTATTAAATGAATTAACGAAATAAAAAAGTTCCCAATTCTTTTTACTTTCCTTAAAAAAGTAATTCAAATTTCAAGGGTGAAGACGAGATCTCCTGTCCTCCCAAGCCAGGTTACTTTTTCAAAAATAATTTTCTCAACTTTTGGACATTTTGATAAAAATTCGTTCTTATCATTTATAGCTCGGAGTCGGAGCAAAAAATTTTGTTTACTTTTTTTAGCCAACGCGCAATTTCGAACAAAATAGGAGCCAAACTTTTTGATTCACATTGAAACGACCAAATCAGCAAAAATATTTATTTAACGCCCGTTCTTTTTTCTTGAAAACAAGTTTATTTGTAACGAATGTGACGGTAATAATTAGCAACAAAGAACTTAATCTGTAGAGCACCAACGTCTTTACTGAAAACAATTTACCATACCAAAACCTTGACTAAGACCATAAACATGTGGGAAACATGTCGTCCTTTTTATTTTTTACTAAAGTAATATTGCTACAGAGTTTATAAATTTAATTGAAATGGATGCAAGTAATATTTGTCTAGACATGTTCCTCCTCGAAATGTGATCTGTTAAAAATTACAAAATATTTACTAACGAAAAGAAAAGAGAAGACGACAAAATATTTACTAACGAAAAGAAAAGAGAAGACGACAAAATATTTACTAACGAAAAGAAAAGAGAAGACGACAAAATATTTACTAACGAAAAGAAAAGAGAAGACGACAAAATATTTACTAACGAAAAGAAGACGACAAAAATTCTCCAATTTTCTGGTTCCGCAGCATTTTTATAAAATATTCTTAATTCCTGCATTTTCTTCATTACTCTAAAAAATATTTGTGTTTTAGCTAAATGTGGTATCAATGAAACAGTCTGCATTGCGGGTAAGTTTACAAATAACTTAGATATTTTAACAATTTAAAACTATATTTTTTTCTACTGTTTTAATATTCCAAGTACTATTTTATCTCAACCGATAAAAAACACTCAAACAATCATCGTTCTCATTATGAATTGTTATTTTTTTGAATAAACTTCATTCTAAAACAAAAATAGTAAATTTTTGCAACAAAATAATGATCCATAATGTGAGAAAGTTGTTTTACTTTAATAGTTGATACAGTCGAACATTTCTTGGAAAATATGAAAATGTCGTCTTCGTCATTAAGCATCCTTTAAATTTCAAGAATGAATATTCCTTAAAATTGCACTCGCTTTTACACTTCGGAAACAATAAAATGCTTTTTTCTCTATTTCTCTATTCTCATGATATGATCGTTCCTATCAACCTGTAGGGTCCTTTTTCAGGATTACAAAGTTACACAAAAATGGGTCAAAAATTTTTTTTTGCAGTCGTTCGACGTTTAATCGCAAAATATGAATTAATTTTGATTTCTAAATATTGGATCCTTGAGGTGGTTGTGGAGTTCCCTGTGATGGAAGGTTGGATTGTGATGATGGCGAGGATGAGAAAGAATGCTGTAGACCTCAGGAGTTTAGATGTGGATCCGGAGAATGCGTCCCGATATCCAAGGAGTGCGATGGACAGGGAGATTGCCAGGACGGGTCGGATGAACACTCAGAGTGTGGTAAGTTTCAGCAAGAAAACTTTTTAAAATATTTTTTTTTAGAAAAAATGTTAACATTGCAATAAAAGGATATTTATGGGATATTTCTTAGGAATAGAATCACTTTTGTTTAGTTAATAAATGTAGATTATGTTACAAGGATAGCAAAAATGACCTGGAAAAGAAAACCTGAATAAAATAAACAATTTTTCTAAAACTTTAATCAACGAATTTTATATAAAGGTTGTGCATTCCAGATTATTTAGGTTATCCTTAGAGTTGGAAAATTATGAATGCGGTTTAATTTGAAACGGGTTCAATTTAAACCAGGGTGAAATACTGGTTCAATTTGAACCGGGTTCAACTTGTTTTGTTTCTTCCAATGAGATCACTATAATCTCTGAATATCTTACAGAAATTGTTAACTAAATCAGCTCAACCTTTTTAAACTACCTTTTCCCTCATTTATAAGTTTCCATCTCCTTTTCTTAGATTAGATTAGAAAATGTATTAAATTTTTGATTATTAATTGGATTTAAATAATTTAAAATTTTAGGGGTTTATATTAATTCTGTTTTATTGATAATTTGAGAAGATAAATATTCTTAGTTTTCTTAGTTCTAGGCTAGATAATATGTATGTGGTCTACTGTACAGGGTGCCCCCTAGGATAGATAATATGTATGGTGTCTACTGTACAGGGTGCTCCCTAGGATAGATAATATGTATGGTGTCTACTGTACAGGGTGCCCCATAGGATAGATAATATGTATGTTGTCTACTGTACAGGGTGCCCACTAGGATAGATAATATGTATGTTGTCTACTGTACAGGGTGTCCCCTGGGATAGATAATATGTATGGTGTCTACTGTACAGGGTGCCCCCTAGGATAGATAATATTTATGGTGTATACTTTACAGGATGCCCCCTGGGATAGATAATATGTATGTTGTCTACTGTACAGGGTGCCCCCTAGGATAGATAATATGTATGTTGTCTACTGTACAGGGTGCCCACTAGGATAGATAACATGTATATTGTCTACTGTACAGGGTGTCCCCTAGGATAGATAATATGTATGTTGTCTACTGTACAGGGTGCTCCCTAGGATAGATAATATGTATGTCGTCTACTGTACAGGGTGCCCCATTAACAAAGAGACAAATTTCGGTAGCATATGCTGTCATAATCAGTACGAAAGTCGATTTTATTTAAAGGGACTGTAAAAGAAAAATGAAAGGGGGTATAGGCTGAAACCCAGGGAACAGGAATAAAGGGAAAGGAAATGGCGCTGGTCCGGCAAGAGAAAGCCAGTCGCACTGCTTTGTAGAACAATGTCGTCGATTATATTTAAATTTGAATAACGAGTAGTTTATTGTAAACTTTAATAAAATTATATTCTTTGCATGAAAATTTGGCTTTATAGTGTTGACATAAATATGTAAATAATATATTACATGTATATTAAACATATGTTTAAGTAAACAATTAACAATAAACAAATGTACTCTCCTAGACTGTACAAATCCCGAGATTCTTACGTACCGTATAAACCTACAGTACAAACCTTTGGTACAGTAAACTGACACACACTCTTTTGGTACAGACACACACACATGACGTTTCCGCCCCCTGCTGAAACCTAAGAACTTCAGGAGTTGATCGAGACCTAGAAGAGTTGTCACGTGATACAGACGGAGACAGTGATACTGCGCTGCCATTATTAAAATAATATTATTATTATAATAATATTATTATTATTAAAATTGTTAAATTAAAATAATAATAGGAGCAAACTTGAGTTTTTCACGCTCCTCTGGGATATCGTCGTTTTCAGATTGGTTGCGTATTTGCTGAATATGATCTTATTACAACTTAGATTTTTAAACCAAATCTTATTAAATAAGTTTTGGTATAATTTTGACACAGTTTTATATCAATTTCTCGAGATAGGAACATCGGAGTGAACTCTTATAGGTCTCGATCAATTCCAGAAGTTCTTAGGTTTCAGCCTTCACCCGGCCTTTCATTTTCCCTTACTGCCCCTTTAAGCTTTAAATTGTAAATAAAGATAAAGTTTTTACAATGGTTATGATTTATCAAATTAAATTTGTAAGTGTTGAGCGCTCATTTTAGATGTTTACCAGTATTAGATAGTTTTGCATTTTATTATCTTTTCAAATTGGGGTCCTGCACCATCGTTGTATATTGAAAAAATTCCTGGGTCTCAGACAAAATGATGCAAAGATCGAAAACTACTTAAAGGGAGTGTTCACCAAAAATGAAAGGGGGTATAGGTTTGCGGCGCAAAAAAGCGCTTTTGATCGATAATATGTTTGATTTAAAAAAAAATAATTTTCGCTGGCGCTGGATTTTCGAACTTTCCTGGAAAATATGAAAATGTCGTCTTCATTATCAAAAATCCTCGAAACAGGAATAAATGTTTTCAAAAGTAACGGTCAGATTATGAAAAATACAAATATTATGAAATATAAACTATTTACGAATGCGTCGAAAAATAATCGATGACTATTGTTTGTAATATCTGAATGATTTGTTTGGAATTAAATTGATTTGTTTACGATCCGAGTTGAATGTTGCATCTTTTTGAATTTGTATGGACACTAAGTTCTTCGGTATTAGTCGTCTTTAACAACAGATAGAAGTAATATTAGTAGCAATCAAAAGCGCTTATTTTTCGCCGCAAGCCTATACCCTCTTTCATTTTTCGCGAACACTCCCTTTAAAGATCGTCAAATTATGTTTATTGGGACACCCTGTACTGTAGTCGATGTAGTTAGTATTTTATTTGCCCGGGATGAATCTGGTCAGGAAACTTCATGCCAATCAATTATCCGTATATGCTACGATTAATTCTAACTTGTTACTTTATAATTTGATGAAAATCAGCCTTTTTAGAAATGTTTTCCTGAATCTAGGTCGGGGGGTTTCCAAGAATAGTATTTTCTCCCCCCCCCCCCTCCCATGTTTTTACAGTTTTCATCTTACCAAGGTTAAATTGTGAATTAAAAAGTACAATAAATTAACTTGAAAAATGCCCCCCCCCCTGGAAAACCAACACCCCTGATATCGAATGTGAAGTAATTACTAAAAATATCCGTTATGTAATGAAAATTATAAAAAGGGAAACTCATAAAATTATACATTACATAAGTCAAGAGGTTAATCATAGAGATGAGAGTATGCAACTTGAAAACAATAAATATAAAAATCTGGAAACGGAAACCCAGTTTCGAGAATGAGACAAGATAATTTTTGTGGTGTCAATATCAATAATTTAATTACATTTATTTATGCTGACCCACAATGCAAACCCCTTTACTGAATTGAGAATCCCCAAAATGTTTAATATGTGACCCCACTTAATATTCCAAACCTGGTAAGTTTATTTGAACTCTCTTAAGTTTCAGGTTCAGGTTCATGTATAACTCCGAACCTGTCTTGTGGTTCCGGGGAATGTATTCCTCCGGCGAATATCTGTGACGGAGAAATAGACTGTACTGATGCACTGGACGAACTCAACTGCACAAGTATTTATTTAGTTTATTCTGCACTGATATACAGATCATCTAAACTAATCTTTATCCGAACTATGGTTTATCTAGACAATCCTGAGGCCGAATTTAAAGAATTTGAGCGGCGGCTTAAATTTAAGCCGCGGCTCAAATATGGTTGGTTTCACTTAAATTTGTATTCAATGTTTCAAGATTTAAGCCGGCGCTCAATTGAAACCGGTTTTTGGCGGATTTAAGACGCGGCTTAAATTCATTAAATTCGAACACTGTACTAATACACAGATAATGCAAACTAATGTTTATTTGAACTATGGTTTATCTAGATAATATTCAAACTAATTTTCATTGGAACTATGCTTTATCTAGATAATTCTGCACTAACATATAGCTCATCCGAGCTAAGGTTCATCTGAACTATGGTTTATCTAGATAATCTTGTATTAATACACAGATCATCCCAGCTATAGGTTTATCTAGATAATATTGCACTAACACACAGAGCATCCGAATTATGGTTTATCTAGATAATCCTGTACTAATACACAGATCATGCAAACTAATGTTTATCGAAACTATGGCTTATTTAGATAATCCTCTGTACAAATACGAAGATCTGTCGAACTAATGTATATCCGAACTATGTATTACCTGGATATCTTGTGTTACCACACAAGTCATCCGAACTAATGTTCATTAAAACAATGGTTTATCTAGATATAATCCTGAACTAGAAATAGTTGTCCTCCTTTTCCAGTTTATTTTAGAGACTACTGTTTTGCATTCAATTTGCTTTCATCAGACCTATTTCAACTAACAAGCCAACTTAATGAAAATTCTTCTTGAATTAAAAAGAGAATTGATAAGAAATGTTTAATTTGCCGCTGTCTAAACGTACCCTTCGGCCTGAAAACCCTATTTTTATCTCATCTTGTTTTCCAGTTTTCCAGTTGGGCTTAATTTATATTTCATGAATGCCTCACAATTTAAAATCTGGAATGAACTTTTAAATATTCTGTTTTCGTTATTTTCACAAGTTGTACAATTTAACTTTAATTTACTAAATCGTGCAAAATATTATGCATTCCGTCGAATGTCGTCGTAATACGAATTACAATGGTTAGTTCTTCCTCAAAGTTTAAATTTTTTATATTATTTATAAAAATTGGGAGATTGACTAGATTGTCAATTTTTTGTTATCTTTAGAAAGGGCTTTCGTACAGGATAAACATAACAACTGAAAACTGCACTTTAATGGGATTTCCAAAATGTGGTCTATTTTCGCGCAATAAAGATCGCTTGCTGTTTAAAAAATTCAATAGGTTTTTTGTAGGCATTAGCCGGTTAAGTTTTTTAGTTTTTTAGTTTTTTATCCTTATTGACATCTAGCATAAATCACTATGCATTGGATATTTATGGCTAGATTGAGCGCTAGAAGGTTCGAATTCAAAAATATGTTTTTTATCATTCATCAGTAAATTTGTCTTTCTCATTAGGATTTCTAGAATGCTATCAGATAAACTAAATCTTTTTGAAAAATCCTTTAAAGTATTTTAGTTTTGTAATCTATTAAAACAATGAATTTGTTCTCCTCTGCCTTTAACAAACTTATTTAACCATTTCACCTCAACGAGGGTAGGAAGGCCAGCCACAACAGTATCTAGTCCGAGCCATATTTGCCTCATTTTCTCGACCGAGCCACCTCGAAATTCTAGTCCTTCCAAAACTATTTTTTTTGTGTTTAATCCTTCAAGATAAAACTATTTTTTAGAATTGGGCCACGTTATGGCATAAATGAAATATTACATTTTTGTAAATCGGAAAAAATAGTTTTAATTGAATCACTGCAAACCACGATTGAAAATAATCAGTTTTTAAAGAGAATACGACAATATCTCATGCATTAATGTTTATAAGTTTTGAATCGAAAATGTCCCTTTATAATTCAAGAGTCATTGGAAATTAGGTCTACAGCCCCTTTACTCCTAAATATTTGGTTCAGGTTCTCCGGGTTGTCGTGTTGGTCAGTTCCGTTGTGGAGATGGAAGATGTGTGGATGGGTCTCTAATCTGTGACGGAAACTATGATTGTATTGACGCAGCAGACGAGAGAGACTGCAGTAAGTATATTCTCAAATTAATTAATGATACAGATAGAAAACTAGATGTTGTTTTTTCAAGAGATAGGGGTTTTTCGTTCGCTATAACCCTGATGCAAAGGCCCAAAGGAGTTTCGCGCATGCTCTCTGTCTCTGTCTTTTAATTCAACGCTGCCTGCGCGGAACTCATTTAGGTTTCTACCTCAGGGTTATTGAGAAAGAAAACCCCCTAAGTCTTGAAAAGATGACATATAGTGTTCTACACAGAATCCCAGATATATGAATACATAGCAAGAGTTTTTTATAATGTCGTATTACATATTTAAGATCAAATGCCGCCGAAAAATGAGTTTAATATTAATATATCAATTACATTCGTATTTCAGGGCTATTAATTTACCTTGAATTAAAAATAAAAAGGAGTTTCTTTAGAATTATAAAAAACTTATGACGGTCTATATATTCATTTATCCGGGATTCACTGTATCTGTATTTTTATTAATCTATGTATACACTGGTCGGCATTTACTCTTTTCTAAAAGCGAAAAAATCGTTTAGTTAACGAAGAAGAAAAAACATAAAATTAAACGACCTTTCTAGAAACAAAGGTTCGTTAGTTTTGAAAAATTAAAAACGAAATAAAAAACGAAATAAAAACGAAATAAGAACGACAGTTGTTTTTTGGTTTTTACTAACGATTCCCATCCCTGTTCGGTGAATGAAAGCATCGTTCGTTCTGACCTGTTGAGACATCTTTGAAAATTATAGCTGTAATTCTAATTATAATTTGCAACAAATTTTAATTTTCTAATCCCTATATCTTTGCAACATAATGTCGTAGACCTTAGAATTCAAGTCAAGAATTCGGCGAGATCAATAAATCTATTATCTAAGTTTAAAATATTAAAGGTTTACACCATGTTTGCCGAGTCCATTAGAGCCTGATCCAATCAGAGTTCACTCATGTGTTTGGTGTCTATTCTGAACCAATAGAAATAGTATGGCGGTACTATCTATCTTTCTATCTATCTCATCATCCAATTAGAGATGAATTCTTAAATCGGCGCTAAGCAGTAAATGGAAATATTTACTATAGTGACCATCAGGTTTTAAAAATATAGGGATATATGGTAGTGTACTGTACTTTTCATAAGTAATTCTACTAATTATTTCAAAAATTGTAGAAGGTGAACAATTTCTTTAAACTAAATATTATATAATCAAATATAAAGCTATAAATTAATCAATGTTTAAAAAGTTAGAACTTTACAAAGATAACATTGTAGAACTGTGTTCCCTGAATGAATGGCAGTGTGAGGGTGGAAACTGTATCCAGGCTAATCAGAGATGTGACGGGTTCAAACATTGCTCCGATGGTAGCGATGAACTAGATTGTCCAGGTAGACAAACATCAACCCAATCCAGATTCATCCTCTTCAACAGTATTCTTTTAAAGGTTGCAATGAGACTGAGTTCTCCTGTAACTCTGGGTCCCCTAGATGTATAAATGTAGGTCGGAGATGTGATGCAACTCGAGACTGTCAAGACGGATCTGATGAGTTAGGATGTGGTGAGTGAATTGAATCTAAACTTAGATTATTATGCATTTTTAATGATGCAGGACGGCGGACAATATGTATGATACGGGTGCAGGACGGATAATTTTAGGGTGTANTCTGAACAACAATATATTCAATATTTTCTTCAATTATACCTGTCTGAACAACAATATATTCAATATTTTCTTCAATTATACCTGTCTGAACAACAATATATTCAATATTTTCTTCAATTATACCTGTCTGAACAACAATATATTCAATATTTTCTTCAATTATACCTGTCTGAACAACAATATATTCAATATTTTCTTCAATTATACCTGTCTGAACAACAATATATTCAATATTTTCTTCAATTATACCTGTCTGAACAACAATATATTCAATATTTTCTTCAATTATACCTGTCTGAACAACAATATATTCAATATTTTCTTCAATTATACCTGTCTGAACAACAATATATTCAATATTTTCTTCAATTATACCTGTCTGAACAACAATATATTCAATATTTTCTTCAATTATACCTGTCTGAACAACAATATATTCAATATTTTCTTCAATTATACCTGTCTGAACAACAATATATTCAATATTTTCTTCAATTATACCTGTCTGAACAACAATATATTCAATATTTTCTTCAATTATACCTGTCTGAACAACAATATATTCAATATTTTCTTCAATTATACCTGTCTGAACAACAATATATTCAATATTTTCTTCAATTATACCTGTCTGAACAACAGTATATTCAATATTTTCAAATGACGAAAACTTTTCTTTATTTTTGAATAGTATTATTATTAAAGGAAGCATATTAAAAACCGATCGATTTTTTCTCATTGTTTTTCTTTGAAAATATTCTTAGAACTTAAAAACTCTTTCCATCTTAGTGTTTAACAAATGGGGAATGCATTTTGGAGCAGCAGCGTTGTGATGGATTTATTCATTGCTCGGACGGTTCAGATGAGAGAGACTGTCCAATGGTCCGACCCGGAGAAATCAATCTCAGAGTTTATCCAACAGAGCAAACAATAAAGGAAGGTAGGAGAAGTCATAAAAAAACATTTTTGGTAGGTTAATTTATGAAATCTCACGCTGTGTCCACCAAAAAACTTGAGAAAAAAAAATGCCGCACGACATTCTTGGTTTGTGATTTTAGGTCGTGAAGTCGTCTTCCAGTGCCGTGATGAAGGAACTCTGCGTGCCCGAGTTGCCTGGAGAAGAGGGAACGGATTGGGTCTCCCATACGGTACTAGAGATGTTAACGGAAGATTGGAGATGCCAAATATCAAGGTACCTTGTACATCCAAGACTGAACTCAATAAAAGAGGGATAGAGTTAGTGTAAATTTTAGTGTTACGTATCTGGAAAGCTCAAAAACTAGTTTTATTGTAAACAATAACAAAAACGTAAACGAGGCTCGGTATCACTGATCAAGGTAGGAGGATTAGTATCATTGTTTACATATTGTTGTTTGTTTACCATAAACATAATTCTAGATCTTTCCTGATACGTCACAGTAGAATGTTTTTGAACTGATTTCCCTCAAGATAAATCAAACTTTCCTTTTATTTCCATTTAATAAATAAATTCTTGATGAATTTTAATACAAATTGTTAAAACCTGTTTTCAGATGATGGATACCGGAACCTACGTCTGCTACGCTCTAGAGTACTCAGCAGAGCTCTCCGTTTACCTCAGGGTAGAGCAAGGTTGGTCTACACACTGTACTCATGGTACTATGGTACAGTGGTCTCAAAAGAAATTGGCATGATAAGACGACTTAAAAATGCCCGAAGGTTGGATAAGAGTTATTGATGTATGTACACCAATCACTGCTTAGGGATGTGCACTATCAATCTATTGACCTGTTTAAAAATATCTTTAAATGAGATATTTTCGTTTTTCTCCACGTTATTCAAGAGATCACTGTTAGGATAGGATACAACATGGATTTAAGAAGGATGGATAGGTAAGATACAACATGGATTTAAGAAGGATGGATAGGTAAGATACAACATGGATTTATGAAGGAAGGATAGGAAAGATAAATAATGGATAAAAAGTAGGATGGATACTTGTAAGAACGATAGATTAGATACAACGTGGATATATGTAGGAAAAATGTGAAAAATACAACATGGATATATAAAGGAAGGATGGGAAAGATACAACATGGATATATAAAGGAAGGAAAGGAAAGATAGAACATGGATATTTAAAGAAAGGATAGGGAAGATACAACGTGGATATATGGAGGAAGGATAGGGAAGATACAACATGAATATATAAAGGAAGGATAGCAAAGATAGAACATGGATATATGAAGAAAGGAAAGGGAAGATACAACATGAATATATAAAGGAAGGATAGGAAAGATAGAACATGGATGTATGAAGAAAGGATAGGGAAGACACAACATGGATATATGAAGGAAGGATAGGAAAGATAGAACATAGATACATAAAGGAAGGATAGGAAAGATAGAACATGGATATATAAAGGAAGGATAGGGATGACAGAACATGGATATGTAAAGGAAAGATAGGGAAGATAGAACATGGATAAAAAAGGAAGGATAGGGAAGATACAATACGTAAAATACAATATATGGGTTTAAAAGAAGTATAGCTTAAATAATACATGGAGATAATGAAGGAAAAGAATTACGTCGTGAATAAACAGATGAAGCTCTGAAATAAAAAGCAACATTTTCTCAATTCAAGATTCCAAGTAAACGATACTTGGATGTTAGATCAGGAATGATTTTTTAAGTTTTTAAGGTTCAAAGAGCACAAGGAGCCTGCAGTTGCTAGTATAGTTTACCCAGTCCAATATATCCGTTCCCTCAAACAACTCCGCTGTTAATTGATTAATGGGGAGTCTAGTGAGTTAGGTTCAATATGTTTGGGGAGAAATATGTTTTATTATTGATCTTTTATGTAAAATTTAATCCAGCACAGTCGCAGAGTAGAGGAGGTAAAGAAAAAAGTCTAATAATTTGCATTGTAAAATTGATTTTCATTTTTTATCATAAAAAATGTTGTTTTCAGCTGTGATTCCCACTACGCGTCCCCCCACATCATGTCAGCTGTATCAGGCGACTTGTAACAATGGAGACTGCATTGATAGATCTCAGGTATCAGTTCCTTACTCAGTTCCTTACATAGTTCCTTACTCAGTTCCTTACTCAGTTCCTTACTCAGTTCCTTACTCAGTTCCTTACTCAGTTCCTTACTCAGTTCCTTACTCAATTTCTTACTCAGTTTCTTACTCAGTTCCTTACCTCAGTTCCTTACTCAGTTCCTTACTCAGTTCCTTACTCAGTTCCTTACTCGGTTCCTTACTCAGTTCCTTACTCAGTTCCTTACTCAGTTCCTTACTCAGTTCCTTACTCAGTTCCTTACTCCGTTCCTTACTCAGTTCCTTACTCAGTTCCTTACTTAGTTCCTTACTCAGTTCCTTACTTAGTTCCTTACTCAGTTCCTTACTCAGTTCCTTACTCAGTTCCTTACTTAGTTCCGCACTCAGTTCCTTACTTAGTTCCTTACTCAGTTTCTTACTCAGTTCCTTACTAAATTCCTAACTCAGTTCCTTACTCATTTCCTTACTCAGTTCCTTACTCAGTTCCTTATTCAGCTCTCTAGCTCTTTTAACTTTTTGAATAACTAACACTATTTTAATTTTCTTCACCATTTGTTTTACTACGCTTGTTTTTCACTCTTTCGTTATTTACGCAATACTTTCTCTCTCTTACAACGCTCCTCTGACTGAAGTATAAATGACTCTAGAAGAATGTTTGAAATAACTTTGTGCATTTTATCCTTACCCAGCAAAAAATATTCAGTTTCAAGTTCGAATTAAATCACTATAATTAAGAATCTAAGATTAACTAAGAATTGCAAGATTCTAAAATCTAAAAATACATAGTCGATGAATTGAGTTTTTTGTTAATTTTAAATATATTATTCTAGGTTTGCAATGGAGTTATTGATTGTGCTGACGGTTCTGATGAATCTGGCTGCAGTAAGTTGACATTTTTTAACAAAATTTTTTTTTTACCTTGTAAGTAAACAAAAGGGAAACTTTTGCTTCAGAAAAAAAAATAGATTTTCTTATTAAACTTTTTTGTTGAAAGGGAGATTATTGTAAATATGTCTTATGAAGCTTCTGTCTTTTTAAGCTTTAATACTTTCTTGGGCCTTATAGCTCTAGGAGCTTTTTGGAACTTGAGTCTCCACAGTGCATAATTTCTATGACTTTCTGTTAACTAGAAGCTTCTAGACTAGTTACTGGTACATTCAATCTCTAAAAGCTTGTGGTGTTCAGGAGCTTCCGTTCTTTTCTTTCTGTATCCTTTAATCTCATAAAGCTTCTGAAATGGAAGAGCTTCTATTTTCATGGGGGCTTCTAATCTAGTTTCTATTAGATTGTAATCTCGAAAAGCTTCTGATTTGTGAAAGCATCTGTTTACATGGGAAAGCCTGTTACATAAAGAAGCTTCTAATCTAGTTGCTGTAGGTTTTAATCTCAGAAATCCTGTTATATAAAGGAGCTTCTAATCTAGTTTCTGTAAAATTTTAATCTCTAAAACTTGTTATATAAATGAGCTTCCAATCTAGTTTCTGTAAGATTTTAACCTCTGAAAGCTTGTTATATAAAGGAGCTTCTGATCTAGTTTCTGTAAGATTGTATTCTATGAAAGCTTGTTCTATAAAGGAGCTTCTGATCTAGTTTCTGTAGGTTTTAATCTTGTTATATAAAGGAGCTTCTAATCTAGTTTCTGTAAAATTTTAATCTCTAAAACTTGTTATATAAATGAGCTTCTAATCTATTTTCTGTAAGATTTTAACCTCTGAAAGCTTGTTGTATAAAGGAGCTTCTGATCTAGTTTCTGTAAGATTGTATTCTATGAAAGCTTGTTCTATAAAGGAGCTTCTGATCTAGTTTCTGTAGTATTTTAATCTCTGAAATATTGTTCTATAAAGGAGCTTCTAATCTAGTTTTTATAAGATTTTAATCTCTGAAAACTTGTTGTAAAGGAGCCTCTAACGAGTGTGAACCTAACGAGTATCAGTGTGAGAATAAGAAATGTGTTCTGAAAACCTGGAGATGTGATGGTGATGATGATTGCGGAGATGGGACGGATGAGCAGAACTGTCAGGAGACTGATCCGTCCAACCCTTGCAGGTTTAGTACTCTTGTTGTTTTGGTAATCCAAAATTTCTAAAATGCGTCGTACTTTTTTTTAATATTACCAGTGATATTAAGAAATTCGTTCTAATAAAAATTTATTAAACAAGAACAAAATGGTCGAAATTTGAACAAAATTCTTTATTTCTTAGGAAAATGCAAAAAGGACAGATTAAAATAATAAAACATTCTTGCTACTTTTCAGTGCTTTATATTTTATAACAGTAATTTTGTTTCTGTCTTAAAGTAAGATTTATTTTGTGTAGTAGTTGTATAGTAGTCTCATCCTTTTCATAGATAAAGTTAATTTTGATGTGCAAAATAACGAAAATGGTTTAAAATTGAGTTTCTTGGTATTAAGTTTTTTTAGAGCAAGACAGCCTGCAAACCTAAATTAGGATTAAAGAATATTTAAAGAATATATTTTTAGTAGATTTTGTGTTTAGGTTCTACGAATGTTCTGTTTAGGTTCTACGAATGTTCTGTTTAGGTTCTACGAATGTTCTGTTTAGGTTCTACGAATGTTCTGTTTAGGTTCTACGAATGTTCTGTTTAGGTTCTACGAATGTTCTGTTTAGGTTCTACGAATGTTCTGTTTAGGTTCTACGAATGTTCTGTTTAGGTTCTACGAATGTTCTGTTTAGGTTCTACGAATGTTCTGTTTAGGTTCTACGAATGTTCTGTTTAGGTTCTACGAATGTTCTGTTTAGGTTCTACGAATGTTCTGTTTAGGTTCTACGAATGTTCTGTTTAGGTTCTACGAATGTTCTGTTTAGGTTCTACGAATGTNGGAATAGGTTTTAGTTGATAATAATAATCAGTAATGAATTAAAAATGGTATTTTGGATACAGTTTGTTTAATGTTTAATTTTTTTAAATATCTCTTTTTCAAATTGATACAGCAGATTTAGAAATATTTTGGTCTAAATCAAATCCTATGTGTTGTGGCTTCCCTGCATTTTATTAACTCGTCCTATTGTATGATTAGGTGCGTATTCATGTGAGGCTATAAACAGCATGGGATCATGTTTCGCAGGATCTGCAGGATGTGGACAACCGGGCCAGGATGCTATAGTGGTTAGTTTGGAATAATAATTTATATATGTTCCTACACTGATAACCAGAAAACTCTGTAATAGGAAGACGACTTGTTTGCAATATTTCAGTGCTTTTGTTGTTAACTTAGTTGTTACTTATTAGATCACTTATTTATTAAAAATGAGTCTGTTTACATTGCACAATTGACGTGTCTCATGTTCATAGGACTATTTAAAGCCGTAACTAAAAATCGTCTTCCTAATCCATAGTTTTATGGTTCTTACTGCATTTTTGTACCAAGAGCGATTATAGAATTTGATACAACCCTGCATTAACAAGTTGGATTTTGTACAGGGTGTCCTTGTAAATATGGCAGTAGAAACCAAACTTACATGTCATCATTGATTTATAAGAAAATTTGCGGCATTCAGAAATTAACCTGTAGTAGATGCCCTACTCCAATAAATACTTTTAAACCCGTGTCAATCCAGGTTCATCTCAATCTATGAAATCAAAATTCACGCGAATACAGTAGTCAATATCAATCCGAATATGACTCAGTCTGTATACTCAATGTAATTCCCAATCTATATCAATCTGTCAAGGAAGTGATTCAGGACGCATCTCGTTTGCTAACCAAGAAGAATTACTCTCACATCGTAATCAAAGCGGAGTATTATTCCAACTGAATGTATTTTGTGTTCTATCATACAAGTTAATCAACGTAGTTACAAGTTTTACGTCGTTATGTAATTAAGCTACAGGTTTTACGTAGCTATTTGCAAACGTAGATAATTAATATTGTACAACATAGTTCAGGTTTACAGATATAGGGTTACACGATATTCATTACAAACCTAATGTTAAAGTATTATTCTTGAAACTGTAATTATATCCGTAGTCTTGGAATTTTCAAACTGTGGTCTGTCCTTATTGTGCTTTTAAATTTTCCGAAAATATATTTATGAATTTCGCTCAGATTTCAATTTTGTTTTCCTTTTTAAACATACATAAGAACTTAAAGATGGCTCAATAATTTTTGATACCCACTCTATCATAGATAGCTATTGGCTATCAAAGATCAAAGAGGATATTTAGGTCGTCAAGTATAGTGGGACACCCTGTATTTTAAATTTTTGATTTTCCAGGTTGTGAATGCGGGAAACTCAGTTTGTCCCTCAGGATACTTCAATAGCTTGGCAGTAACCAGGGAGGATTGTTTACCTTGCTACTGCTCCGAGTTATCTGACACATGTTCCAGCGCAGATCTTTATTTTTCTAAGCTTCCTCCCCCTGCTGGGATATTCCAGCTGATCAGTCGGGATCCGGTAACCCTTTCCACGGTGCTCATCCGGAGACTGACCCCGGAGATAAAGTCCTTCTCGTCCCAGAGGTTTTATTTACGGAATAAATCAATGCTGGAAGATAAGGGGATACCATACTTCTCCATGCCGAACTCCCATACTGGAAACCTACTGAAGAGCTACGGAGGATACTTAAAGTTCTCCTTGTCCTATGCAGGAGAAGGAAACCTTATCAACGAACCAATGATCATTATCCAGGTATTGATATAAATACTAATATTCAATAAGGATCATTATCCAGGTATTGATATAAATACTAATATTCAATAAGATTTTGATGTCGAATTCAATGGTTTTGAATCTTAATGTAATTGATTTTAGGGTGAGAATAACATGTTGGTTTATTATCCTGAACCTGAACCTAGACCTGGAGTAGAGAATAGGGTTGAGGTTAGATTCTGGCCTGGAGACTGGTTTACAGATTACAAGAACGGAAACAGAGCTTCTAGAGAGGATATTCTTAGGTAACAAGACTGATTTTATGATCCGTAGATCTTTTCAACCTGATGTCGCAAACCTTTGAAATGTCAAAATATGAATTCTGTTACATCGATAAGTCAAAGTTTTAAATATTAAAGGTTTACATTACCAGTAGGCAAAGATTTAGGGAAATTAGAGTTTGAAGCCTTTCTCTTTCCAAGATTCATATTTTGTATTATTCAACCCGCCGCTTTCAGGGTTCTGAGTAGCGTAAAGTATCTGCTTCTGAAAGCCCAGCAGGTTGACTCTGGACCAATTGATTCAACAATCTCAGATATATCCATGGACTCAGCAGACACAAGGTTAGTGCATTGAACGGAATGTATTTAATGGTTTTCATTCAACTCATGATACCCTGCACCCTCACACTTGTTGCCAGATCAATTAATAACTTTCAAACTTGAGTAATCAGAAAAGTCCAAATTCGTCATTAAAAGAACCCTGTAAAATTTCATTAAATCACTAAAACTAAGATTAAGGTACAAAACTTCTCAATGAATTCGCCTTCTACGTTATCTACTATATTCCAGAGATAGTGGAGCAGGATCTACCGTGTATATTGAGCAGTGTGTTTGCCCTCCTGGATATACAGGACTTAGCTGTGAGAGCTGTTCTCCAGGTTATGAGCGAAGCAGCTCCGGAACCTGTAGACGTCCCTCTGAAACCTGTCCTATTGGATACTATGCAGACCCGGATACAGGTCGCATAGACAAATCATCTTTATTAAAATTATTTTTGAATTTCTTAAGTCTGAATTTTTTTGAACTAAGCCAAGATTTTGACAATGTTTTCTGTTTAGGGGAGTGTAATGTGTGTCCCTGCCCCCTCACCACTCCATCAAACCAGTTCGGCAGAGAGTGTAGAGTAGACACTGATAGACAGGTAGACGGGTAGATGGGTAGATAGGTAGACAGATAGACAGGTAGACAGGTAGACAGGTAAATATATAACAGGTAGACGGGTAGATGGGTAGATAGGAAGACAGGTAAACTGGTAGACAAGTAATTAGGTAGACAGGTAAACATGTAGACATGTAGACAGGTAAACAGATAGACGGGTAGGCGGGTAGACTCTGGACAGGTAGAAAGTTAGACATGTAGATATGTAGACAGATAGAAAGGTAGACAAGTAGACGGGTAGACAAGTAGACAGGTAGACAAGTAGACATGTAAATAAGTCCCTTATGATTAGGTGACCTGTGTTTGTGCAACCGGATATACTGGACGAAGGTGTGGCGACTGTTCTCCGGGTTATGTTGGAAACCCTGCTCTCCCTGGAGGATCTTGTACTCCGGGTAAGTAATTCGTCCGTTCACCTATTCTTGTCCTAGGGAAAGTCTGTAGATAAATATACCTATAAGGGTCGAAATATAGAAAAACTAAATAGGTTTATCAAAAAACTTGAAGATTTTGCCCATATTTGAACCTGAAATGTGATCAACAAAGAATATTTTTATATTTTTTTAGGGGGGGGGGGGGGGGGGGTCAATAAATATAGTCTTTTGGTAAGTGAAGACTTTTTTGGTCAACTTCAATTGAATGAAATGATAAGTCATGGTTTTGATTTTAAAATCTGCAAAACCATATAAAAGAATCCTTCTTCATAGAACCAAGATCAACTCTAATCTCTTCAGAACTGTACATATGCAGTCAAATAAAACTACTCAAATCTATGTTCGTTAATTTTAATTTATATAATCATCGAGAATATGTTATTTGATTGACCGGTATTATGTGTTCTATATTTGATTGACCGGTATTATGTGTTCTATATTTGTTTCTCTGTCTGTGATATCTATACAGAGTTAATCATAAAGGATAAGTCCTCGTGGGCAACTGTACTCAACTTTCTCATTATTCAAACTTTCTTATTTATTTTCCAAATCATTAAAGAGAGCCTTTAGAAGAAGGCAATTTGAAGGATTTAAGGTCGTCAATAAAGCCTCATCTTTTGTGGATAACCCTGCAGCTACCCTTGCCTAGGTTGGGTAAATAGATTATAAATAAACAAATTATTCTTCTCTTGTCATGAACTCTACTTAAAAATATACTTGGTCAAAGTACATTTTCTATTTAAGATTCATTTAATATATTTGTTCATCTTTTATGTCTAATGAGCCGGAAACTTTAAATAGTTGATCATAGATCCTTGATCAAATGTTCTGAAGTTTGAACAGTCAGAGAATAATTAATTTTGCTCTCCGCTAACAAAATCATGACTGTTTACAAGTCTAAGGAATTCAAACTTTAAAACTTTCAGTGTTCGCCTATAGAGTAAAGGTTAAGGAGCTTTAATTTTCCTTGTTTAGAAAATTTTAAGACAAAATATCCAAAAACACATATTTCTTGAATAATTGGGTTGTATACGTCCTGCGCATAGATTCGGTAGATCCGGAGCACCCTGCGTTTAATTAAATCAGTCTTGAACCTGGATTAGTATATTAAGTCCACTGAACCTACAATTTATTCCTGGATAGTGGATATGTTATTTCAAGGAAAATTCGTTGCACTTTTTTTAAACTCCATCCTTTCCATTCGTCCAAAGAAGTTTTATTTTTATTTTTCTCTTTCTGCAACATTGGAGTTTGTTTTCCAAACTGTTGAATAGATATCTAATGTTCTACAAACATATAAAACAAAAAAAAATATTTTGAATGCTTGTACACATTTAGTACATTTAATACTCTGTAAATATTTGCCCAGTGGAAGAAACAAAAATATCTAAAATCCTCCTTCATTCATCCTTCAAATATCTATCATTCACTCATCCTTCAAATATCTATCATACATCCTTCAAATATCTATTATTCCTTAACTGATCATTCGTTCATTCTTCAAATTTCTTCACTCATCCTGCACTCATCCTTAAATCACTCATAATTCATAATTCACTCATCTTTAATTCACTTTTCATTTACTCATCTTTTACTTAATTATTTTTACTCCTCCTTCACTCATCTTTCCCTCATTCTTCACTTATCCTTAACTCATATTTCCCTCATTCTTCATTTATCCTTAACTCATATTTCCCTCATTCTTCACTTATCCTTAACTCATATTTCCTTCATTCTTCACATATCCTTAACTTTTCTTTCCCTCATTTTTCACTTATCCTTAACTTATATTTCCCTCATTCTTCAATTCTCCTTAACTTATATTTCCCTCATTTTTCACTGATCCTTAACTTATAATTCCCTCATTTTTCACTTATCCATAACTTATATTTCCCTCATTCTTCACTTTCCTTAACTTATCTTTCACTCATTCTTCACTCAACTTTAATTCTCTTATCCTTCAAATATCTATAATTTCTTCACTGATCATTCACTCATCCTTCAAATATCTATTATTCCTTTACTTATCCTTCACTCATCTGTAATTCACTCATTCTTCACTTAGCCTTCACCCATCCTTTCTCATCCTTCAATCACTCATTCTGCAATCATCCTGCACTCATCCTTTACTCTTCTTTCAATCACTCATTCTGCACTCCTTTCAATTTTTTTTTACTCCAATTTCAATCTTCTTTCACTCATCCTTTACGTATCATTTACATATCCTTAATTCACTTATCTTTCATTCATCCTTCACTCATCTTTAACTAAATTTTTTAAACTTACTAGTTCTTTACTTACCTTATCCTTCTCCACTTTCTCTAGTAATCCCTGAAAACATTGTAAAGACTAAAAATGTATTAAATTACAGACGCTATTATCAGTTGATCTTTACAGAGAAGTTTAACATTTTTCCATTGATTCTCTCCTAGTTCAAGGAGAAGGTCAGATTAACTAGGATACGGGATTTCCAAAATTTTAATTCCTTCTCTCTCGATCTTTCTTCCCCTTTACTATAAATATGTGATTAAGAATTAAAGACTTTAATCAAGTTCGACAGATGAATCTACAGAAATTGAAATATATTTAGAAGAAGAATTTCAAAATTTTCAGACAAATTCCTTAATGCAAGCGCTCTGTCTTCATTAATCTATAATATCATCTTTTTATTAGTCCTTTATCCCCAGCCCTAAGAGCTCCGGTATTGGAATAGGGTTTAGTGAGCTCCGGTGTAGGAATAGGGTTTAGTAAGCTCCGGTATAGGAATAGGGTTTAGTGAGCTCCGGTCTAGGAATAGGGTTTAGTGAGCTCAGGTATAGGAATAGGGTTTAGTGAGTTCCGGTACAGGAATTGGGTTTAGTGAGCTCCGGTGTAGGAATAGGGTTTAGTGATCTCCGGTATAGGAATATGGTTTAGTGAGCTCCGGTATAGGAATAGGGTTTAGTGAGCTCCGGTATAGGAATTGGGTTTAGTGAGCTCCGGTCTAGGAATAGGGTTTAGTGAGCTCAGGTATAGGAATAGGGTTTAGTGATCTCCGGTATAGGAATATGGTTTAGTGAGCTCCGGTATTGGAATAGGGTTTAGTGAGCTCCGGTGTAGGAATAGGGTTTAGTGATCTACGGTATAGGGATAGGGTTTAGTGAGCTCCGGTATAGGAATTGGGTTTAGTGAGCTCCGGTATAGGAATAGGGTTTAGTGAGCTCCGGTATAGGAAATAGGGTTTAGTGAGCTCCGGTATAGAAATAGGGTTTAGTGAGCTTCGGTATAGGAATTGGGTTTAGTGAGCTCCGGTATAGGAATAGGGTTTAGTGAGCTCCGGTAAAGGAAATAGGGTTAAAGTAAGAAGAAATAAAGCTTACAATTAAATTTTCATAATTTACCATCTTAAACTTGTAGTAAATAAATTTCGGAAAACTTTTGTTAGGGATACTTGGAGATGTTTCAGCCTTTTTTTCTGAAAAATCTCAATTATATATCCCGGTTAATTTTTAGGACCGGTTAATTTCGATCTTTGTTGTGATGTTAGGAGCTTTCTCCCGAATATTCATTAGCTTCGATGTCACAGAATGGAAATATTCAGAGTGTCTGAAACTTTATCCATCAGACTGTGTCTTAAATCCACAAGTAAAAGAATGCTAAGAATTGAATGTATTGAGCTAAGGTGTTTACTCGAGGGATATATTTAAACTTCATAATCAGTGCCTCCCCTTGGTCCCATGGCAGAAGCTTTGAAACAAAGCAACGGAGTCTTTGCCACAAAATCAAATTTTCTAAACCCTATATCTTTGTACAAACGTCTGACGGTACAAAGGTCGGAGAGTACAAACGTCTGACTTACAAATGTAGGACTGGCACAAACGTCGGACTGGAACAGACGTCGGACTGGTACAAACGTCGGACTGGTACAGACGTCGGACTGGTACAAATGTCAAACTAGTAAAATTACATACGTTGGATGGGTTAACTTATAAGGAAAAAGTCGAACTTTGGTTGAGTTTGAAAAAAATCACTTACGTAATGTGATTAAAATAAAAGATAACTGAATAAAGTCTTAACCCTACCTAATAATGTAAACATTTGTTATATCATAGATTATTTGATCTAACAGAAGAACTCATAGTTTAATATATCTAAAGTTTTACGGCATCGTGATGCAAAGATATAGGTATAAAATCAGAGTTTGTGGCAAAAACTCAATTCGATTTTCGCCCAGATCTTTGTCCTACTTTAAAAATTGTTTTTAACCTTTCCACCAAACTTACACATCAAGAAGCCTTGCTGTTTTAATTTAAACATTTTTTTATTTTTTCTGGCTACTCCAGGGGTCTTGACGGTCTTTTCCCGTCCAGACATACCATAGTCCTTCAATATGTATTATATTAGTCTTGTACCTACCAAACCATAAGAAAATTTCTAAATTGAAGGTTTGATCATGTTAAAGGCCTCAGCTTGGTTTTGAAACTATTTAAGAGTTTTTTTTGTTTGCGCTTCGCCTCTAGTAAATATTCTGAACATTTCCATGCTGGGGCAACAAGGATAATAAAACTTCAGACATGACATTACATTAATGATCTGATGATAGACATAAGCGGTTTATAAAAACGTAAAAAATAAGTAAACTTTTAAAAGAAAATTACAGGACGGTGTCTGCTAAAAGTACCAACATGATCGAAACCGGGTTTTAGGATGAATGCTTTCTGAAGTTTCAGACTCGGTTTTTCAGAGTAAATAGGTATTTTTCTTCACGTTACTTTACCAAATTTCAAATATGCTACTAAAATACTTAATATTATCTTTTATTCTACTTCTTAAAGTGTACACTCCTTCTTCAAGTTTAATGTTCATGTAAAGAATTCATTTGAATTCCCAAATGTTGTCTCCAGCTCATCTGACATTTTTAATTGAAAAACAAGTTACATTTTTATTGCAGTTTTTGCAATGCACATGTGTGATTACTATCTATCCATCTATCATGATTTTTATGCATTTAAGTTCAATAATACTTACGATAAAATACAATTAGGCCTTGAAGTCTTTGCCACAACCTCTTATGTTCTGATCCTTATATCTTTGCAACCCATTGTCCTTTTGACCTTAGATATTTCAAACTATGAATTCTGTTTGATCAAATAATCTACGTTTGAAATGCCTAAGGTCTACTTCACCAGGTTACAAAGATGTAGGGATTAGACAATTTTAATTTTTGGCATGCAAAGACTCGACTCCTTTTAAAGGGGCGTAAGTAACTCAAAGTGATCTCCAACTCTGAAAATTTACATCTTGGCACCGTCATTGTGAGCATAAAATGGCCAAAATTTTCATATTTAAGAAGAAAAAACTAAGTTTTCTAAGAGCTTTCCTAGCTCATATACAGGTTTAAAGAATTCCGTTTTTAATTGTTATGATTTTCAATTAAAGAGCAACCTAAACTTATATAAACAATTTCTTTGAGCCAGATTTATCAAATAGAAAGTGACAGGGGATCATGACCATAAAGCCAAGAGTTTTTATCAGATTGTAAGCAAATATCTTAACTCCAAAGATTCACATAATTGGTTTGTTTAATTTTAATTTATATCTTTACTTTTTTCACAGAAAAAAAATGGTTAAAAACTAAAAAGATACACATTCTCTTAAAATAAGTTTGGAAATGCAATTGTACAAATTATAAGTGCACATTTTTTTCTTGAAATTCTAACATTTTTAATCTTCTAAATCCCAGAGCATCATCTGAACAAACTCGTTGTAGTCCAGTTTCCCATCTCCGTCCAGATCTGCTTCTCGGAGCAGCTCCTCCGCCTCCTCCAGGCTCAACCTTGCTCCGTACTGGGTCACAACCTGGACAGTAGTTTAGAACAATAGGAGATAGATTTTCATCCTTAGATTTTCAAACCAGCTTTTTCTAGCCAAGCATGCAAAATTCAATTTAAAAATGAAGAGAAAAAGGGATACTGCTGTATGTATGATGGGTCAAAAACAACTTTTTTATTAATTCTCCGAAACTTCAGTAATTCTCAGTGTTTATACATTCTTATCTCTTGATTTTTCATCAGGTTTCTGTTTTCTGTTTTTGTCTAATTCTGGTTTATGTTCTTTCAAGGTATCTCTGAACCCCAAAACATAAACAGATAATCATTGATGCTGAAAGTATCCAGGTTTAATACATACTAAAGAGTAAAACTAAGGGATGAAAGTATCTAGGTTTAATACAAACTGCAAAGTAAAGATCAAGATGAAGTATCCAGGTCTAATACAGACTGTAGAGTAAAGATCAGGGATGAAAGTATCCAGGTTTAATACAGACTGCAGAGTAAGGATCAGGGATGAAAGTATCCAGGTTTAATACAGACTGCAGAGTAAGGATCAGGGATGAAAGTATCCAGGTCTAATACAGACTGTAGAGTAAAGATCAGGGATGAAAGTATTCAGGTTTAATACAGACTGCAGAGTAAAGATCAGGGATGAAAGTTTCCAGGTTTAATACATACTGCAGAGTAAAGATCGGGGATGAAAGTATCCAGGTTTAATACATACTGCAGAGTAAGGATCAGGGATGAAAGTATCCAGGTTTAATATAGACTGCAGTGTAAAGATCAGGGATGAAAGTATCCAGGTTTAATACATACTGCAGAGTAAAGATCAGGATGAAAGTATCCAGGTTTTATACAGACTGCAGAGTAAGGATCAGGGATGAAAGTATCCAGGTTTAATATAGACTGCTGTGTAAAGATCAGGGACGAAAGTATCCAGGTTTAATACATACTGCAGAGTAAAGATCAGGATGAAAGTATCCAGGTTTTATACAGACTGCAAAGTAAAGATCAAGATGAAGTATCCAGGTCTAACTCTTGACATTTTCAACTTAATTAGCACAGTTCTCTTCCCTGTGGCGGAGAACAAAAAACTCTGATGTTTTCAAAGCAAACTCTTCTCTTATTCGTGAACACTACAGGGAACCCCCCAAGTTATTATAACAATGATGTGTTTCTATAAATAGTTAAAATAGTTGAAAGATTTCCTCTAGTCAGAATTCGGAGAAATGTACTTTTAAATTTTATTAGGATTATTTTGTGCATGCTTGTGTATTATAAGGCAGTTATTATAGTGTGTATGTATAAACTATTTTTCATGACTGACAATGTTGGTAAATACTTGAAATACTTGAAGTTGCTGTTATTATTAATTTCCTCCGCCGGACTTAGGAGAAACGCACTTTTTAAAATATTATTAGGATTTTTTTGTGTGCAGGCTTGTGTATTATAAGGCAGTTATTATTGTGCATAAGCGTGATTGTTTTTTTTTGTTTTGTTTTTTCAAGTCAAACCTTAACAAAGTTTGTAAAGTTATAAAACGTTTTTTTGTAAAATTAAAAACTGAATGTTGTTTTATTTTGAACATAGTAAAAGTTTTTAATCTATAGTAGACAGTTTTAGGTAAAAAGATTGTCGATTTATCTTGTATCAGAGCTGAAAACTTTAGAATAAAATATCCAGATATCCCGTCGAATAATTAATCTGAAGATTAAAGTCATGAGTTAACCAAGCAATATTTAATCTGGAGATTAAGAAAAAGAGTGGATTAAGCCTTAATCCTGATATCCACCATTCTAAAGTTTTCAGCTCAGGAAATATACAAATTCTGACAGGTTCCCCTGCATCTAGTTATACATGTTTATATTAAAGAGTAAAGGGTTAAGCTTCTAAGACATTATATTGTGACGAGTTTAAGTATTTATGATCCTCGGCTCCGGGAGAAATAATATTTACACAAACAGATCTAGACTTCTCCTTGGATACAACTTAACATCAAACTTTGTTATTTTTAGTTGAATTTAGTGATTTTAACATAAACTCATACTGGGTATTCTCACCTCCTGTCGTACTAATATTTAAGTTTAAAGTTCATATCAGCCCACCCTGAGTTCGCTTTGGATATTAATCCTATACAACTTTGATACAGGTTGAAGTGTAGATTACCCTATACAACCTGGATACAAGTACATAAATAGATTATCCTATACAACCTGGATACAAGTTTATATTTAGGTTATCCTATACTAACTGGATACAAGGTCATATTAAGATTATCTTATACAACCTGGATACAAAAGCATATTTATTTTATCTTATATAGCCTGGATACAAGTCGATTTTTATTTGATTCAACCTTGCCGATACAAGTTTTATTTTAAATATCTCATTGTTATGATTTTACCTTCTTTAGTTCCACAGCATCTATATATCCGTTCCCGTCCCTGTCAAATATCTTGAATGCTTCTTTCAGCTCCGCGGAATTATCCTTGTATTCCAATATGAAACTAGAAACTAGAAACTAATAGTTATCCTTGTATTCCACTATGAAACTAGAAACTAGAAATTTGGAGTTATTCTTGTATTCCAATATGAAACTGGAAACTAGAAATTAGAAGTTATCCTTGTATTCCAATATGAAACTAGAAACTAGGAGTTATCCTAGTATTACAATATGAAACTAGAAACTAGAAATTAGGAGTTATCCTTGTACTCCAATATGAAACTAGAAACTAGAAACTAGGAGTTATCCTTGTATTCCACTATGAAATAGAAACTAGAAACTATGAGTTATCCTTGTATTCCAATATGAAAGTAGAAACTAGAAACAAGGAGTTATCCTTGTATTCCTATATGAAACTAGAAACTAGGAGTTATCCTTGTATTCCTATATGAAACTAGAAACTAGAAACTAGGAGTTATCCTTGACTAAAACATAAAACCTAGAATCTTGAACCTAGAAACTAAAACCTAAAGACTAGCGCGCTAGTAACTAGAACCTAGACACTAACTTGTAACTTTAACCTAGACTAACTAGAAATAGAACCTAGAGACTACCTAGAAACTGGAACCTAGAGACTACCTAGAAACTAGAGCTTAGAGACCAACCAGAAACTATAACCTAGAAACTACCTAGAAACTAGAACCTAGAGACCAACCAGAAACTAGAACCTAGAGACTACCTAGAAACCTAAAACCTAGGGACTTTTTAGAAACAAGAACCTAGAGACTACCTAGAAACTAGAACCTAGAGACTTTACCAAGAAACTAGAAACTAGACATAAGACGCTGAACCCTGAACTAGATCAATGTAATCCTTGTAATTATGCTTTAAATAGTTCTCCTTGACTAAAACATAAAACCTAGAATCTTGAACCTAGAAACTAAAACCTAGAGACTAGCGTGCTAGTAACTAGAACCTAGACTAACTAGAAATAGAACCTAGAGACTACCTAGAAACTGGAACCTAGAGACTACCTAGAAACTAGAACCTAGAGGCCAACCAGAAACTAGAACCTAGAGACTACCTAGAAACTAGAACCTAGAGACTTTACCTAGAAACTAGAAACTAGAGATAAGACGCTGAACCCTGAACTAGATCAATGTAAGCCTTGTANTTCATCATCTCCAGGAACTCGTCGAAGTCGATAGTTCCGTCTCCGTTCACGTCGTACTCTATCACCAGGTTCAGCACCTCATCCTCTAAATAGTACACGCTTAGATGCAACAGAAATATTATTCCCCCTTTCCTCTTTCCAGTAGTTTTTTTGTTAAGGTGACTGTAAGCGTAATTTCAAGTGACCCTCTATGTAAAGATCGCGATGCCCGATTTACAACCGTACTCTTCAAAGCTTTGTCTGATTAAGTATGAATAAGATATCAATTTTTTGGGTTAACAGCTTTTCATTAAAATCATTTTTTATAAAGAAACATGGAGTAATTCACAGAAATAAACACAATAAGTTAGAAAACAATTTATCTTCCACATTTTTGATCAGATTAAGGTTTTAAAGGTACTGTTGCTATCTTTGATTGGTGGGGTCACTTGAAATTACGCTTACAGTTCCTTTAAGTTAACACTGCTCTCTCCTGTAGCTTTAAAATTTTGTAGAAATCTTCCAGGAAAATGTAGAAATAAAGCAAAGAAATTTTGTTTATAATAAATGCAAAAAAAATGTTCAAACATATTAATCATTTCTCACACAGTTTATACAAATTCATAATATTTGGATACACTATATTGGAAAAATGGGAACCCCGGGGGGAACTACAGGAAGTAAATTATAACTTTATTTTTAATAGAAATATATTAAAAAAATATATTAACCCACTNTCCTTTGGGAATATGTGCTTTTACATTTAATATAAAATTTCATTGATTGTTTGTGGTTAAAAAAAATGTATTGCACATTTTCCAGTTCTTTAGATTCCAGAAAATATGAAATCAGAAGCTTGAAAAAAAGGTTGTCCATCCAAGGAGTTTTTTACCTGTTGGGTTTTGTCCCATTGATCTCATAACCGGTAACAGTTCCTTGGTGGATATAGTTCCACTCCCGTCCTAACACAAATATATTCTATAAATCACATTAAACTAAAGTTCATTTCATTTCAGTTGAAATTTTTAATTTTATTTTTTCACACAACAATTTCTGAATAGCTACTAATACGAGATACTTATTTCGTATGTAGAGATTTTACTTAAAGGGTAACGTTAAAAAATAGATTGCATTGTAACTGAACGTCTTGAAATATGTTTACGAAATAAGACGGTTCCATCCAGAAGTAAATTAATTTGTTTCTATCTCTATTGAAGATGATATGTAAACAGAGCTAACGGGAAACCAACTCTAAATTAATATCGACATTTTCTCTACGTGTCATAATCTCTTCAATTTATACACGTTATCAAATTAACAACACCTTAACCCCGTCTGTAGGTTTTAATGTGTCCCAAATCTAGCTGATATAAATTCTGTCCATTTAAAGGAAGGAAAGGGGTGAAAACTTGAGAAATTGTGAGTTATTTGGATTAAAAGAAAAGTCCGCATATATACTCGTGTTTGCGCATTTACATACTCTACAAATAGTAAATGAAGCAGAAAGAAAAATTTAAATTTAAAAATAAAATTTTATGATTTGTTTTCAGTCTTTCAAACTTAAATTCTCGGAACACTATATATCGAGTGTTTTTATCTCTGAAGTATGTTTATAAAATTTTTAAAAACAAACGCGTTCATAACAGAACTTTTTTCTATGAACATAAAAACTTTTTCAGTTCTTTCAACACCCATGCAAAGAGTTGCTAAGAGTTATAACATATATGTATACATTGTATCCAGTATCCAGTATCCTGTATCCAGTATCCAGTATCTTGTATCCTGTATCCTGTATCCGGTATCCTGTATCCAGTATCCTGTATACTGTATCCTGTATCCTGTATCCGGTACCTTATCGAACTCCTCNTCAATTGTTACAACTTTGTAAGTATCCTGTATCCTGTATCCTGTATCCGGTATCCTGTATCCAGTATCCTGTATCATGTATCCTGTATCCAGTATCCAGTATCCTGCATCCAGTATCCTGTATCCTGTATACTATATCCTGTATCCTGTATCCGGTACCTTATCGAACTCCTCGAAAGCTTGTTTGAACTCCATCCTCATCAGATCTGACATAGACATCCTGGAATCCATTTTCTCCCACTCTACCTAACAAATCTTCACTGCAGGGTTGGGAGATTTAACCACTCTCCACTTTGTAATTGGGAGATTTAATTACTATCTAGTCCAAGATTCGGAGATTAATGCACTCGTAACCAGGTTTGGGAAATTTAGGCACCCTCTACTTCAAGGTTTGGAGATTTAACCACTCTTCACTTCAAGATTGGGAGATGTTACCACTCTCTGATCAAAGATTGAGCGATCAATTGTCTTTCTGATTTAAGGTTGGGAGATTTATCAACCTTTACTCCAATGTTTAGAGATTCAACCACTCTCTGCTCCAAGGTTGAGAGATTTATCAATCTTTGCTCCAATGTTCAGAGATTTAACCACTCACTGCTCCAAAGTAGAGAGATGTATCAATTTTTGCTCCAATGTTAAGAGATTTAACCACTCACTGCTCCAATTTCCTAATCCAAAATTGGGAGATATAATTCGGAAATTAAACATAAATTAAACCAAATTATTTTTGGACGGAGTTAAGCAATGAAACCTTCTTATCTCTTAGACAATTTCAGAAGATTTAACCAATATATGTAATGAATTAAACCAATTAATCTCTTCCTCTGAACCAAGTCGATTGTAGATTAATATTAACTCCTACTTGACTCCTAATTTGGAAGTTTTGTCATAACTGTTCTTAGGATTTACGGAACTCCATATTCAGTATTCACTGTTCAATTGTAGTTTTTAGTTAGATCTGGTCCAAAAATATTAGGATGGGTTGGGTTCAAGTAACGTTAGGTTGGGTTCCGGAGATACTGTCAGCAACTGAAGGATCGTCGGAGAAACTTTTCTCCGAGAACGGAGAGTTTAGGATTCGGTCTATACCTCCTTCATATTCACACACCTTTCCCCGCAGTTATTCTACTTAAAGGGACTGAGAACGAATTCAAAGAATTTGAGCCGCGGCTCAAATATGGTAGGTTCCACTTAAAACTTCAAACAATTTTTCAAGATTTAAGCCGGTGCTCAATTGAAACCGGTTTTTGGGGATTTGAGACGCGGCTTAAATTCATAAAAACCGTGTTGTGATTGTCATTTGCATGTTCACGATGCACATAAGGGTACACTCCAGTTTAAAGTAAACTAGACAGAAGGAGACGATCAAGTTTGTGTGATATTTCTGGTAAAACTTTGTGACCTCGTAGCGCCTCTAGTTTAAATATTTATTGTCTTTCCTCTCTTCTTCGCCGTCATATTTTTGCACTTTAGTTACTTCCCCAATTCCTCAATTCTTTCTCAATCTCTGATTTTATCTCTTTTTTCAGATAATGTTTAATTTAGTTTTTATATATATGTTAAGTGTTAGTTGTACAATTGTACATCAATGTAATGCTTGATGTACAATTGTACAATATTGTGGGTTGTCCTCTGTTAAAATGGCGTCAATGTTCTCAAGAAAAGTTTCATGTTTTGGGCTGCGTTGCTTTGTCAGTTCTGAAACAAGTTCATCGAAATCAGTGATTACTAAGGTAAATGCATGCTTATTTTGGAATATGTGCTCATTCAATTCCCAGGTTAAGGAATTGAATTGCAACAAACTATAACTTCTAATCCTTGTATCTTCGCAAATCAATGATGTTGACCTCTGAAATTGTAATTCTTATAGATCAATTATTCTGTGTGAAAAGTATGAAATATCAAAGCTTTACATCATCAGGTTGGAATGATATAGGGAATAGAAAATTTGAGTTTGTGGTAAAAAACTCAATTCCTTTGGGAATATGTGCTTTTACATTTAATATAAACAACGAGTATGGCCAACATAACAAATATTGTTTTGGCATTTCAACTTTAAAATATGTATTTATATGTAGTATGAACAAATAATACATAAAAAATGCAAAACCCCCTCCCCACATTTTTTTGTTATCAGAGAAATACGAAAAGTTAGTGTCTCTTTTTTTCACAATTTTAAAATTATTTTATCTTTCAACTAGTAAAATTTACGATATGCATAAAACATATTTTTGTTTGTCTTAATGTTTGCATCTTCTTCGTCGTAAACTTTCTAGTAATTTAAACCCTTAAAGGGACTGTACGTTAAATTTTATTGATATATAATTCATACCTTATCAGACAACGCTTTTAAGGGTACCGTTGTGAATAGGGCATTACCGTCACTTGATATTACGCTTACAGTCTCTTTAAAGAGGGTGGGGGAGCTTTTATATGGTGTTTAAGTTTTAATTTAACTTTACCGAATTAAATTAGGTGATATTATAGTCCTATAAAAGTCCTATAAATGATAACTACCACCCTGGATTAACTTACTTTGGTTTACTTTTACTTACTTTTACTTTACTTAGAGAGCTATTTATAATTTACTAGGCTTTTAGGGCGCTTCGCACCCATCTTCTTTTTCAACTTTTAATTGTGGCTTTATTTGTGAGCATCTTCTCTTTGTACAATATAAATTTGTGGATTTCAAAATATTTTTTTGCGCATTTTCAAAATTTTACAAAATTAAATAATTTAAGATATTATAAGATTAAATATTTAAAGTCTGGTTGGCCATAAACCTTCTCTGGGGCCACGTGATGTCCCACACACAAGGCCTGCTCAGTCAGCCGTTTTGACGTTCATTTGGATACAAACAAACAGAAAAACACCCAAATTTTGACGTTCATTTGGATACAAACAAACAGAAAAACACCCAAATTTTTATAAAGATAACCCATGATATTCGGGTTTCTGCTATTCTGTTATATTCGACTCGTTATTTAAACCCCCTTGTAAAGTTGTCAGTCTCTCCCTTTAATGCAGATTAAAAATCCGTGCAGTTTAATCAATGTACATGGAAATATTCAAAATATTTATATACGCAGTATACAACACCTTAACCTGGAAACAAGTTCTTTTATTTTATTTTTATTTTTATTAAATCTTTAACTATCTTTAAAGTTTTGAATATTATAGATCTGTTTGTTAAGTACTGGAGAATTTATAAATATACAGAAAATACCCCATTTAAAAAAATGGCGAATCTCAAATAATTATTTTTATTTTATTAAAATTATCTCTTGTAGATGTCATTCTACCAAATGTATTAAAGGCTAGGCTAGGGTTATCTGAAAATATTTGTAAAAAGAAATTTCTTTGGTCAAATGGAATCTTTTTTTTTGGGAAACGAATTTTTCAATTTAAAGGGACTGTAGACGGTATTTCAAGTGACGCTCCTTTTACAGATTTTACAGTCACTTTTACAGGGAACCTCACTTAAAAATAATCAATTCTCAGCTAGAAAACTAATGATATTTCTCTCATTATTTGCCAGCTAAAGGTTTAAAGGGACTGCTTTGAATCGGACATTGCCACATTTAACTTGAGGGTGAGATGAACATAACTGTAAAGTTTCTTATTAAATCCTGTAGTCCTGCTCCAGGTCCCTATATCAACTGATTGACTGGTTTAGATGACTGTNCTAGATACTAGATACTAGATACTAGATACTAGATACTAGATACTAGATACTAGATACTAGATACTAGATACTAGATACTAGATACTAGATACTAGATACTAGATACTAGATACTAGATACTAGATACTAAATACTAAATACTAGATATTAGATACTAGATACTAGATACTAGATACTATATACTAGATATTAGATACTATATACTAGATATTAGATACTAGATACTAGATACTAGATACTAGATACTAGATACTAGATACTAGATACTAGATACTAGATACTAGATACTAGATACTTAACACTTAATACTTAATACTCAATACTTAATACTTAATACTGAATACTAAATACTAAATACTAAATAGTTAATACTAAATACTTAATGCTAAATACTTAACACTTAATACTTAATACTTAATACTTAATACTGAATACTAAATACTAAATACTAAATACTAAATACTAAATATCAAATACTAAATACTAAATACTAAATACTAAATACTAAATACTAACTACTTAATTTATTTATTGGAATCCCCTATATATCTAGGTGGAGTAGGATGCGGAGAAGGGATGTATATGTGCGAGAACAATGTGTGTATTGAGAACTCAATGGTCTGTGATGGAACGCCTCAATGCAGGTTGGTATTCACAACCTGGAAAATAATAATTATTTTTGATAGAAAAAAATTGCTCTTGAGACTTTTTTAACTAAAAGGATAGTTTTTTAAAGGTTTAGATAAATTGTTTTTAATAAATATTTTATTTAATAAAAACGGATTAGTATAATATACTACATTTTTTATCTTCAAAAGTGCACATTTTTCACTGGAGCTTTAATTCTTTTGTTTATGAAGGTGGTTGGGTTATAAATTTCTCTGCTATAAATATTTAAACTTTTAGCTTCTTTAACACTCTATAAAGAAATGTTTCATTTTTATCGATAACTCAACGGTAATGTTGAATGCTTATTTTATGCAACAAAATTTGAATAATAAGTTTACCAAGTTATATTCAGCTCCGGTGCTTCAGAATTGTTTTGTCATATTACAATTTGACATTACTTAGAGTGCATGAAAATATTGATTTTAAATATGTTTTAAGAGATAAATAATGAGAAACCATCCATGTTAAATCACAGGGTAAAATAGTGTCATAAATATTTTATTTTATTAGAACGGATAGTTTTTAAAAGTAAATCACTTTTCTATGTGTTAAATACTGTTTTTAAAATATATAAATGTGGTTAGATCATCTTTAACATTTTTTTATCATTAAAACTGTACATTTTTCACTGCAGTTTGAATTTTTGATTTAATTAAAGAAAAATACATCGATGTTTTCAGGAAAGCTCGGGGATAAACTACCCTCTTAAAATTTTATTTATAATTTTATACTCCATGGTCCAAAATTACCTGGGAGCTCCGGTAATTTTAATACTCTGAATTTCACAGTCATCACAACAGAAAACAAAAACAAAAACTTTACCCCTCCCCCCCTAGGCATCCCCTTCCCCCTGGCTTCTCCCTCCCCCCTTTCTCAGCTTTTGAACGTCAGCGGAAACAAAAATGCCTTTTACATGTGGCGCCTGAACTTTAAATCTACACATTACACAACAAAGTCGCAAAACTTGAAGTATTTCAGGGATTTATCGGATGAGACAAACTGCGACATTCCTCTGTTTACATGTTGTGATGGTGGAAGTATACCCGGAGCAGAGCAGTGCAACGGGTTCAGGAACTGTAGAGACGGATCAGATGAGTTCTATTGTTCTCAAGGTAGGAGAACAAACAATTGTTATCATTAGTCCGTTCTTATCAAATTTACAAAGAAATTGAGTCTATGCCAAAAACTCTAATTATTTATCCCTTTATCTTTGCAAACCTGATGGTGTAAACCTTTGATATTTCAAACTTAGATTATTTGATCTAACAGAATTTATAATTTGAAAAATTTAGAGTCCACGACATTGGGTTTCAAAGATATTGGGATTAGAAAATCAGAATTTGTGGCAAAGGCTCAATTATTTAGGATCGTTTTCTTCCTCGTCTTCGTCGTAGAAACAAACAAATCGCTTTATAAAATGGCAACGACTGTAGGGGGCTGCCAAAGACGATATTCATTTCCTTTATTATTACTTATATCTATAATTGATCAGATAAGACCTGCTCCGGACTAGAGTTTACCTGTGGGACGGGAGAATGTATACCCCTGGAGTTGAGGTGTAACGGGTACCCGGATTGCAGGGACGGATCAGATGAAGCCTGTGGTTGCAACTCATACTGTACAGGAGAAAAAGAACACAGGTAAAACTGTGTATAAAGCATTGAAAATGTTAAAACAAAATATTGGAAATATTAAAATATTGAAATATTAAAATTTGGAAATTTTGTTGTAAAAAATATTATAAATTTTAAATTTTTTTTGAAAATATTGAAACAAATTCTTGAAATA